ATAGAGGCTTATATACTAGCAGTGGACAGACACAATCCTAGCACAGATATCACATAATTGATATGACAATGCCAAATATGTATTCGTCGTAGCTGCAATGGTATTCTGTCATATCGTACCTGATGACGCATATCTACATCTAGTCCATTAACCCTATATTAGATCACGAAGCCGTGCTAAGCATTTCTAATTAGCCATTCAAAAATCTTCGGAATGCTTATAATAAATTTCTGTAACAAATTTTGGCTTTGCTATCTATTTATAATTAGCCATCTAACAATCTTCGGAATGCTTATAGTAACTTTCTGCGACAAATACGGGCATTTTTATCAGTCAATAAGCACATGTAGTACCTCACAGCTACTCAATTTCGTCTTTGAAAATATGCTTAAATTCTATGTTCATGGTTATGAAGATTTTCACTTTATAAACATCTGTGTTGATACAACTTGCATGCACAAATAACTACCTTGACTTAACTTTGTTTGATGACCATTTTAAGGACTATTTTCAAACAGGTTACTTTTTAACTCAAAGCAAGTACAGTCGCTTATTGTTCATAAATAAAAGCGACAACCCTTTCCGCATACATACGAAATCCCTGCCAAAAGCCTTCCATTTAGCATTACCTGTTATAACAATGTAAAAAGAAATGACAATTTAGGCATTCATTGCCAATTTATAATTACGAAACAAAAACCGGAACTGTAACATAAAATGTTTAACATTCTTTCGTCTCATTGGTCATGACGTATGGGAACTCATGGCTATGGATTTCATACAGATTATATCAACAGCTCCCGTTTTAATTCTGGAAACCCAGTTGTCCGGAAACACCCATCTCTGTGGTTGTCAACAGTATTAACAAATTTCAACCTGTTGTTTTCATGGGTTAAAAGGAAACAAAAAATATGTTTTGAGTCCGGAAAACTCAAGATGCTTGCAATGCATTCGTCACCACACGCCCCCATCCGTAACCTATTCGGCTTGTCCCGGAATAACACGAGTTGGTCACGAAGGGCTTGCGATGGTTTGAATATGGAGCTTTCAAAAAGCGAATGGGTTTGAAAAGGTGAAACGGGATGTGTTAAACAGAGAAACATAAAAAAACACGTAAAAAGTATATAATTCTGAAACGGGGCTTCCGTCTCATGTGCCAACATAACGCTCAAAGAAAAGAGCATTTCTGTAAAAATCATGAATCATGTCAAAGCAATTGACGGTTCGACATTTAACCTGGGAACATTATGAACAGGTACACACAGCGGCACACGACATAATCGATTTTTACCACACATATTGAATTAAACAAGCCTTGAGGGCATAGCAGCTTGTTCTGCTCATTAAAATACCTAATGTGATTATGGCTCGTGTTCATATGGATCACTCGGGACAGACATGAGATCATGGTGTCAGTGGACGTTGTTCAACATGGCAGCATGACACCTTCTACCCTCCAGGAAGCGAGACGGATGATTATGACACGAAACAATGATCAACATCCTCGGCGACCTTTAGGTGGAATGAGATCGATGGGAGACTGTGATTGCCTATAGATCTTTCCTTAGTGAAGATGTTCCATAAGTACCTACTGCTGAGTTACCGACCGATAATGCACCACGGGGCCAGTTTTTAATATCTTTTTGCAGATGCCTGACAAGAGATAGGGCATTATTTCTTTCGTTTATTAAATCACTGTCTTTTTAGATTATATTGATCATTTACATTTTTCAGTTTAGCTGGTTCGTGTTGAAATTGTACAGAAGCTTATATTCAAGATGGTTAACACGTGTACATGGTAGTCTTTAACGCTGCTTGACGTTAAGCCCATCGTCAAGTTAACCACTTTGGTGAAGCTCTTAAGGACGCTTACGGACATAGATAGAAGTAGTAGTACTTCTGGTTATTTATGTTGTAATATCGCCTAGTCAAATAAATTAGAATATTCTTGTGTGGTACACTTATTCAGTCTTCAAATTGCATCGGTATAAGCGGGTTTAGGAATGACGCGTCTGTGATATGTGTCGACCACTAGCATTATTGTAGATAATAAATTCTAGGAATGTTACGGGATATTTCAACTCCCTAAAGCTCAGGATAAATTTACAGCCAACTATTTCTATTCCAGACTGTAGGTGATCAGGTATACTAATGTAGGTTTAAACTGTTTGGGGTTTGTTTGCTTTTTCAGGTGAATAGTTGACTTGCCGTTGCGGCAGGAATATAAACATTCCTCTCATTCATTATCGCACACTTCTGGCATCACTCTTTGATAGTGATTCATAAACACATGGAAGTGTTTTTGTCGCTTTTATGCATTTATTTTTACGAATGACAAACATGCTTATCAACATCCATTTATAGATAATCATTTTGTTACTGGCTTCTATCAAATTATTATAAAGGATTTATCACAACATATTCTATACATTCTGCACAATTTCTTATTAGCTTGATAAGACCAGAAACATTAGATAAAAACGTTTGATTAATAGGCGACTTGTATAGCGATAGACTCCAGGGAGAGTATGCCCAACGAGCACGACATTATTACCCGATCAACAGTGGGGACTCCAACTGCATAGTCATCTCCCTGGGGAGTATTCAACCAAACACGCGTTTCTAGCGCTGGAAGGTTTTCAAGAAAGTCGCATTCACATCACTTTATCGCAGTCAAACACCGTTGTGTTAAAGTTGAAGGGACCTGCCTAAATAATGAGCGTTATCCGAGGTTAAACTCAGTCGAAAAATTAAGAAGAATGAATAACGCGAAACAATACGTGACAAACAAACAACGAGAAAATGAAATTATGTTCGATTTATAAGAGTAACATTGTGCTGTAAGTACATGTTTGGGACTGGAAAATTGAACTTCGAGAAAGCCCTAACTTCGAAACATTAGATTCGACAGATCAGAGGTTAAATAAAGATGAATAAAGAAGGAATATACAAGGACCAAGTTTTTACTTCGTGACATCCGTTAGTCTGACACATCAAAGTTCGGAACATCGGTGTTTGACTGATACCGGGCACCCATTCGCTGTCTGGTTAACATCGGAAAGAGATACTGACCAACAGGGACATTCAGGTCTTATTTACCACTTTTCTTTCCCGGGGGCCGGGACTGGAGCCATCAAAGACAAACTTGTGACCTGTGGGCGCGATGCACAGACATGCCACCACCTATCCCAGGGTACGCAGGGAATGTAAGCAACTCCAATTTACAAACGAAACCATTTACCAGTGGTATCTCCTGCTACATTAAAAGTGAGTTGACTTTTGTTTCATTAGTCTGGAGATTTATTGTCTAGACAGCCTCCGGGCAGCGTGTCCCAGTTGTATCATAACGTCTGTTGCTATTAGTGTGTTTCAGAACTAGATTGTGTCAACTTGTGTTCGTGGGTTCAGATGGCTGATTCGACCTGATTATTAACCTTGCTCAGTTGGGATCATACCTGTGATCATTGACTTTCCAAATAATAAACTTCTCCGATGATAAACTGTATTTTGGCTTATCGCCTTTCATACCATGAATTGTTTTAGACAGGAACCTCATGTAGGTATACCTGGGTTTAACGTCAAGTGTGAGATCAAATGCGGGGTAGGGGGTGAGGGGTGAGTTCAACAACACCCACCCCTACCAACTCTTTCAAAGATCATATATGGACATCAATGACATAAAATGAAAAGTAGCCGGGATAATAATTATGTTGTCCGATTATTCTTTTAACCCAACTGCACATCTCATTGTGCTGTGTTTATCTAACTCAACTCCATATTTCATTGTGCTGCGTTAATTAGGTGTTATTTTCACTCCACTGTACATCCCATCGTGCTGCGTTATTAAGGAGCTCTATTGACCCCAATGCGCATCCCAGTGTGCTGCACATTTCATTGTGCTGCGTTATATAGCAGCTCTTTTAACCCAACTGAACATCTCATTGTGTTCCCCGTGGGGACCCGGGGAAGATAAACAAGAATGAGTCCTCAGCACCCCATTGCTGGTCGTAAAAGGCGACCGAATTGGGCAGCCTCTTTGCCGTGGGCTGCGACCCTGTCCCGACCCTGTGTCGGCAATCGTGCTCCTTAGTCCAACACACCACTTCGACCCTAACTTTGCCTAGACGGGCGGTAGAATGGGCCCGATTCTATAAATTGGCTGGTCATGTCATGTCCTGTGCATACACTATTTCGCACAAACGTTTGGTATTTAAAAATACATTTACTCAAACTGTCAATAATATCTGTATCAATCTATAAAAAAAACTTGCTTAGAACCCTATGCCCAGGTTCTCATGGGCCAACCTGGTGATGCTGACCTCTGAATTTTGTCTCCAATTAATTGTCATGGGCTAAACCAGCCTTATACTTAATTTGGTAGATTGTTAAAGCTTTTCGCGACGAATTTGCTGAAGTATACCACTCCTTTATCCTCGGTCTTAGCAGCTTGGAAATCCGTTGCAGTGTAAGACTGTCCTTGTAGACACTCCATGGTGGGTGAGGAAAAGGGGTGCTGAATCTGTTTTCTGTCGACATGGCTTCCCAACACCTTGGTCCAAATCATAGATATATTGAGTCTGGCAATTCACCTGACGAAAATACCACCACCCGATCTGACTATAGTCCTTTCCAATAGGTTCTTATCTCCCCCTGATTTATTATCCCCCCTTGCGAACTCTTTCGAAAACAGAGATAAAACGGCCCTATCACGTGCTTGGCGTTCACTTCCGGAGAGGTTTTGGCAAATGAACGAAACGAGAACGAAACAGCGGCATTATTGCACTGTCTGCTCAAATTATAGAGGGAAGGGGGTAGATGGACGGGTGGTGACACTAATCACTAATGAATGAATCACTAAAGAAAGCGTGGATTCGACGGCTCAAGTTGGTCTAAAAGGATAACAGACACAACACCACCCAGCGCCAATGTTCGGAACACTTCAAGGATGGTCATTTCAGACGGTGTTTAATACTATCCATTTTTGGGGGGAACCGTTTAACATGTATCAGGTAAGGTCTGCATAAACAATATATTACTGAGGCTTAAAGTTCATGTTATTTAGTGATGCATGGATCCCCCTAAAGACCAAATAGTTATCAAAATGCTAATCATTACGCTTTTGTTAAAAAATCAACCACAATTAGAGAATAATATTGGAATTATTCACATAGTTTTAGAAACTTCAAAATGTAGAAAATGTATTATTCGGAATATGTTGACTTGTATAGAGAAAATACATGATTGCAATGAACATGAATAATCTGAAATTAGATCAATTACTTATGTTAACCCTGTGAATGGACATCAAGGATCTAATTGCAAATGTTGTAATCATAGCTATTATTTTATTTTTTATCTTATAATTTTTCAGTTTGATTCCAACTCAGATGAGAGTACCATACAAAGGGAGGCCCAAGCACCAGTAGCTGAGCAATCCAGGGAAAGTGACAATGGGAGTGAGCAATCTGTGTCTGACAATCAGCAGATTAATGTTAAGGCTTCAGGATCAAGTGTGGAAACTTCAGTTGTCATGCATGACTGTTTTGGACAAATTGAAGATCATGCCACAAGTCATCTTGTAAACAAATCTGAACAGGCTGATTTTCGTCCTTCGGACATTGATGCATTCACTCAGACAGATATATTTGATCATTTATGTGTGACTGTGTCAACTCAAACATTGAATGATAATATATCAAATGCTATATCGAAAGCAAAAATGATAGATCTAGAAATTCAGTCTAGTAAGCGTGACGAATAATGTTAACAAGTCTGGTTCATGTTATTGGCCAAAAAGCGACAAAACCCTTTCCATATTCATAAGAAATCGATTTACGATTCCGAGTATATCATGAGCATGCGCAGTGGTAGAAACTAACAGTTTTAGTCTGCTAGTTGTTATAATGATAACATATAGCAAAACCCTTAAAAATGGCAAAATTCTACTGGTCCCAATAGTACCTTAACTGTTGAGCAGTTTGGCAAGGACTTCGGGACAAGGGCCACTTTCTAACGCTGATGCGTTTATGAATCACTTTCAAATGATGTGACCAGGTGTTTGCGAAAAGGTGAGAGCGTCCTCACATCTTATCTGGATAAATTCCTTTCACTGTTCATTGTAATTTTGTTGTGTTCAGGTGTCTGTGGTGAGAGTGCTTGCATCGCTGTTAGACTGATAAGAGTGGGTGAGAACAGAAAAGCATAATCAAAATTAATCATACCTGTTGTTTCAGTCGAACTAAATAAATGTTATTCCTTTTTTTGCAAAACATTTCTACAGTAAAACAGAATATAAAAAATAATGAAAGGAACAAGGTTTTTAATGATGATCATGATGAGTGAGTAGAGTTAGGTAATTGCTCATTTTCACTGATTTTCAGCAGTATTTCAGTTATCTCAAGGAAGCCCGATTTAAAGCAGTTAACACCTGGTACTATGTGAAAACGGAGAGTTCTCCATGACACTGACGAACCAGAGGTGGTTTTCAGATTTGCTCTGTACCCTCGGTCACTGCATGAGGACCAGTTCTTTTCTGCTGTTAGGATGCCGAGCATACTGGGATCTTGTTACACAGAGATAAAAACTAAACAGTTTTAGTCCACTAGACCTTATAATGATAACATATAGCGAAACCCAAAAAGGGCACATTTCTATAAGTCCTAATGATATTTTAACTATCGGGCAGTTTTGTAGTCCTGCACCATGACCGTGGAATGTATTTATTTTATGAAAATAAATAAATCTAGAAACGCATACAAAAGCAAGTCTAGTAACAAAATACAGCTGGGGCAGTGGGGAGAGGCGTAAATGGTGTGTGTGTGTGGGGGGGGGGGGGGGGGGGGGGGGGGGGATACTGAGGGGAATACCAGGGTGACCTGGGATGGCTGATCTCCACACATGTGGTTATCATGAATCTGACACACTGCTGAACTGAACTAAGGACTGATGTTGTGCTGATGATGGGCTGCTTCCTGTAAGGGTTTGCTGCATACCCTCTATTTGACTACATGTATAACTGTTGGCATGGAAGGTAATGCTATATATATACAGTTACATATTGATCACTTCAGGAATCATCAAAGACAAGTGATTGTAAGTTACCTTAGAGGTAAAGGATGTCCTTTTTTGTTCTCCAACAGGAACAGGAAAAGCACTTACTTTTGAAATAGTACCATTCGTGTTTAAGAAAGTTTACTTAATAACTCCAACAATGCTACTGTGATTGTTATTTCACCCTTGGTGGCACTAATGACAAAACAAACAGAGAAATGTTCATCTATTGGATTAATATCTGTTTATTTGAAGGGTCAACATGACCCTACTCCTGATGATGATGATGATGATGATGATGATGATCTTGTACATGAAATGGACCAAATATCGATTCAGGATATTCAATCTCGTGACATTGACATAATATTTACAAGTCCAGAGACAGTTCTTGGAACACAGCGTGATGTCATTGAAGACCTGACTAAAGAGAAGATTTTGAAGGCAATTTTCATTGATGAAGCACACTGCATTGCAAAATTGTATAAATGTTATATTTTGTATTTCGTTTTGTCTGTCAAGGCATGGCATGTTGAATGTGAGGGCATGGTTTTACGCATCTTTTTTGCAATATCCCAGCAATATCACGACACCAGAAATGGGCTTAACACATAGAAGCCATGTCGGGCATCGAACCCGTGCCTTAGGCATGGCGAGCGAATGTTTAAATGACGGATCACAAATAGCTATAAAGTGTAAACAGTGTGTTTGTGCGTGTGTGCGCGTGTGCGTGTGTGTGTGTTCGTGTGTGTAGTGTGTGTGTGTTAGTTAGTGTTAGTCACGATCACGAAATATCTAATTTGATATTTATCAAATCAAAGTTAAAGCACAAATATTAACGTTTCAAAATGTACATTTGTCACATTATGAATACATACAATCACTTCTACATTCATCATGAACTTGACACATTGTTTCTCTGAAACAAGGATTAATTTTGTAAGTTTGGCCGCAGTCCCAGGTAGAGGAATTTTGTAATGTTAATAATACCCTTATGAAAAAGGAATGCATACACCCACTGCTAACATTAGCTAAGTTAAAACACTAAAACACTAAAGTTGATCTTGAATAAATCAGTTACAAAAAAATAATCATCTAACAACAATTGTTTTTGCAAAAGATATGTTGATCTTATTCTTATAAGGAGTTGAATTTCATAAAGAAATCGGCCAATTTTCAAGCTGCTGATTATTGAATTGAAGGTCAGCATCATTCATTCATAACGTATACAGAATATGTATGAATAAGAAATGACAATCAAACCTTAACAGCTTAAGACATTCATAATGCTCGTCTTGACTAAAGTTTCACTTTAATTGTGTATTTTTTCAGCGGCAAGTGTAACAAAGGTGAAAAAAGACCTTTCGACGAGCGTATGGAACACTTGGCGAACTCAGGGCACTAGCTCCTGGCATACCAGTGATTGCACTAACAGCAACTGCGACCAAGTCAACCCGAGATGAGATAATTAATTAAATGTCCGGCTGTGAACAAATGCTCCTCAGTCCCAACAAAGAAAACATGGATTTTTCATGGTTAGTTACCCTGTTACGGGAAAGGAATCGACAAACACCAATGATGCTGATATTTTTCCGCAAAATCAAGCAAATAGGTGATCCCTTTGACATTCTCGAATCAGAGCTAAAATATGATGCGTTCATAAACAATAGTAAAGACGGAGTTAGCAGTCAAAAGAATCGTCTATTTGACATGTTCCTTAGCAAGACAAACAGGGAAGTGAAGAAATATGTGTCCCAGTCCTTCATGGATCCAAATGGTTTCTAGAGGATAGATAGTCCTTTGCTCAACATCATTCAGCATGGGACTTGACTTACAAAGTGTGGAAACCGTCATCCACTATGGTCCAGCCAGTAATGTTGAGGGTTATATTCAAGAGACAGGACGAGCAGGCAGGGATCCAGAAAAGCAGGCACATGCTCTTCTCATGAAATTTAGACAGTGTCTCAGTGGCAGGCGGAATATTTCGGATGAAATGAAACAGTATGTCAGAACCAACGTATGTCGACGAGTTGAGCTACTGAAGAACCCTCAACAAATTCAACCTTTGCATAAGTGCTGTGATAACTGTGCCATATCTTGCAAGTGTCTCTGTGACTGCATCGACTCATGTACATGCAATACTGCTTAAGACAGATGAGGACGAACCTCCTAAGTGTATCCCTTATGATGAAAGGTTTACCGTCAAGCATATATTGCTTGACTGCGTGGACGTTGCAATCGCGAGGGATTCACATTATGAAAGCGTAAATCTGAAAGATCTCTTTTCCCGTGTCAGCGGGCATCATATATAAATTACTTGAAAGAAATTGGACTGCATAATATTTTTTAATATGTATCTGAACAATTAAATGCTTGTTTATAAATTTGGTGTAATGCTTTGTCAACTGACATTATTGAAGGCTCTGTCCTGGAGGTTAAAGTACTGTAAAATTATTGTACCCCTGTGTGACACGTAATCCTATCATAATTGATGATATCATATCATCAACCAGTGTTTTTAAGCCAACTCATTGCTGTGTATTTTTTAATATTGGTTAGTATTGTGCACAACCTCCAGTAGCTGAAGTGATGACGTAAATCCTGCTGGGGTATCATGTAGAAAGCCGAGATACTGCAAGTCCCCATGATCCCCAGCAAGGTGGTCTAGCTTTGTTTACTGGTGTTTACTGGCCAGCCCGTGTTTTAAAACTGTATACATGATATTGTTATGGCCAAACATACACAAAGAAAAAAGTTAAGCACACCCTTATATATTTCATTATTGTTTGGTCCCATTATTTGTAACAGTCATGAAAGATATAAGTATGGGAAGAATTATGTTTTCTCGAGATGATGTCATCAGTCATGCGTAACTAAAGCTCATGTACGGGTATTCCCGTGCAGAATGCTATCCTCGAGTATCTCTAAAAGCAGTATATCAAAATGTTAAAATTGCTTTCCTAAGCTCGGTTTTAAACAGTTATTCCATGACATTGTGTGACCATGGCACGAAGGCGATTATCAAACGCCACAAGATGGCAAATAATCGGCTTGCATAACGCAGGAATGTCTTGTAATGTCCATGGTCGAAATTTGGGGTATCATCATACTGACGTTAGTCGTTTAGTCGAGAGACATGCTCAGACCGGTGATGTACAGGACCGCCCCCGATCCGGAAGATCTCCTGTGACTACACATCGCGAAGACCTTCATCATTTCATACGCCGAGAACCCTTTTTAACAAGTACTCGTCTGAAACAGCTGTGGTTGCCCAATCGTCGTTTCAGCACCAGAACCGTCAGGAACCGGCTGAAAGCAGCAGGACTGAGGGCTAGACGAATCTTAAAGCGTCCCTTGTTGAGAGATCACTACAAAGCTGCTCGTTTAGCATGGTGTATTGCACGACAGAACTGGAATCTGAACTTGGAGACGGATCCATTGGTCAGACGAAAGTCGCTTTCTGCTCCACGTCACTGATGGAAGAACAAGAGTTTGTAGGCACCGGAACATGGTCTGCACCAGGAACATTAAACCGACTGATGCATACGGCGGGGGCTCGGTAATGGTTTGGGGTGTATCTCTCATGATTGCAGGTTGGATGTGGTCACCATAAGGGGCAACTTAACAGGGGCTCAGTCAGCCGGGACGTTTTGAGGCCAGTTTTGACCTCATGGATGACAATGCCAGGCCTCATCGTTCGCATGCAGTCGTGGATTACATGAGGGCCAATGCAATAACACCACTACCCCTGGCCAGCAATGAGCCCAGATTTGAACCCCCTTGGACATGTTTGGGATATTCTGTGGCGGCGTATACAGGCACGAGATCCTCCTGTACATGATTTACGCCAAATGGAAGCAGCATTGCATCAGGAGTGGTTGTACATTGTTGACCCATCAACAGATCCAACGTCTGACTGTAGGCATGAGACGTAGGGTTAAATGCGTCATCCTGGCACATGGCGGTTATCCCCGCTACTTGTCTGTTTCACGTGTCATGTCAAGTAGAGACTTTAAGGAACATTTTCACATAACACATCAAACGTAACTCGTTTACCTGCAGCTCCATACTTTTTTAGGTATTGTCTGAGGTAAAAAAAAAATACCTGTGTTACCATGATGTTTTTGTCAGTAAATTTCAGTCAATATCAAATAAATTAACTTGGTCTCATTGCTATATGGCTGAAATAAGCCGATGCGACGTTAAATTTTTAACTCACTTAATTCACATACATCTCATCGTGCTGCGTCATATATCAGTTCTTTTAACCCCACTGCACATCTCATTGTGCTGCGTAATAAAGCAGCTCTTTTAACCCCACTGCACATCTCATTGCGCTGCGTTAAATAGCAGCTCTTTTAACCCCACTGCACATCTCATTGTGCTGCGTTAAATAGCAGCTCTTTCAACCCCACTGCACACCTCCTTTTGCTGAGTTACATAGCAGCCCTTTAACCCCACGCCAAAAGCCTGCCATGGTAATGAACTGTAATCTTTCATCGACCAAGTTCTGCCAGCATCTACTATTACAAGCTCACCAGGTCCGTCTGTCAACATTATTTTTCAAACGACTACTACTGCTGAACGGTGGGCATTCAAAATTGTACAAATGGTAGCGCTGACCCCCCCCCCCCCCCCCCCCCCCCCCCCCCCCCCCCCCACACACACAACTGTTCAAATGGTGGGGTTCACACACACACACACACACACACACGTGCACACACACACCAAAGGGGCTGAGGGGCAAGACCAAATAGGGGCAATTTGGATATATTGCTTTCAACGACTTCTCTGGAACTAAGAGAGGGCTGAGGGGCGGGGCCAGAATGAGTTTATAACTTGGACAAAGTTAAGATCCCCTCCGTATGTACAATTCCTAAGTATAATGAGAGGAATGCACATATGCTACCAGGGTGGCCTGTGGGTCTTACTCCGCCCCTGGAGACTTAACCCCTGGGTCATAACTTTGAAACAGTTCAGATCCCCACCCCATAACCATATATACAATTGTTGGGCATAAAGAGACAAACACAATCATGATATTAGAATTGAGCCTGGGGTCTTGCCACACCCCTAGGGATTCAGTTCTTGGGTGAAAACTTGGAAACAGTTGAGATATCCACCCTATTACCATATACATGTATACATGTAATTGCTTAGTATAACACAACAAATACACATATGATACCAGGGGTCCGCCCTTGGGTTCAGCCTTGCCTCTGGAAACTTAGATCATGGATCATAACATAAAAACGGTTCAGATCTTTATGCTACATTTGTATCTAGATAAGTACACGTTCATGCTGTCAGATTTGCCATCCACCCCTTTTAAGGGGACACGGGTGGCCCAGTCGTCTAAGGCGCCGCGATTCGCTGTGCAGATTGATATGATATGATTGTAGGTTCGAATCCCAGTCCACCCCAATTGTTTCTAGGTTTGTCAGCACCATACCCGTGCTCGAGGGTTTCACCACAGTTGTAAACGTCTGAGACCTGCATCACTTAGGGCTTTCCTCACACATTAAGCTGACACGCCGCGATATAACTGGAATACTGTTAAAAGCGGCGTTAAACCCAACTCACTCACTCACTCACTCACTCACTCACTCCATCCCTTTTAAATGATGACAGAGTCAAAATTACGAAATATTTGCAGTTTTATATACATGTACAATGCAAATGTATATTTTGTCATGATTGCGTAAATATCCAGGTGAGAGATTCAGGCCCCGTGGACCTCTTGTTATATTATCAAATGTCAAATATCAAAGGTCGGCGATAAGACATTAATCTGACGTGTCATTTAAGAAAACATGAAAGCAACTCCATCTGAAAAATTTAAACTGACATTGTTTATATACTTTGTCTGGGCATTTTCACCCAAGGCAAAAGTGACTTTTGTTACGAGATGATTTCCAAATTCGCAAAGGTTAACCAGAAGTCAGTTCGCACAGAGGTGAAATCAATAAATGATCACACAGAATTATCAATAGATTATAAGCTTTAGGTTGTACAATAGAAAAGGCAATACAATCGGTCAAATTAGTGGCAGCAGTAATAAGTAACTGGCCCGGGAATCACTGTTGATTGATTTAAAACAGGCCCGTCTCCGGCCTTGAATCCAGAATAGTGTTGGAAAATGGCAGGAATTCGTTGTTTCCAGAAAGGTATCCAAACCGCACTTGCCAAGTAGATAAAACCAGATCGGGTCGAAAAGGCCCCGTTTCGTCATTTTGTCACTCTAATATATATGTATAAACAGCCTTCTTTAACATTCTCGTACGATGTTCACGTTCATGTGTTTTCTTTACTTTTGTGCAGTAAATCTACTCGTATGTATCACTGTAAAACATCACTTGATGTGTACATGTTGGACGCAAATAGACCTTATTCCCAGACCAAGTCGCCCTAAGGCTACACCACCACCACAAAACCATTCTGGAAAACTCCATTCGCTGCTGACGACCCCTGTTCAAGTCCAGCCACGAAACCACGTGGTATGTGTTACTTGTATTTCAATCACTTGCTACCACTAACAGGTATTACATGTCATATATATTTGAAAAAAAAAATACTTACATATGACACTGGGGGACATGTTTGGGAGTTTTGGGAACTCAGACCTGAAGTCGCCTTCTCACTCAAAAGCTCTTTTGGCTACTTGTCGGATTTACCGTCAGCGTTTTTATCCCCCGCCGGGCCAGAATGGCCGAAGGGGGATTATGTCGTGGCGCATTCCGTCCGTCCGTCCGTCTGTCCGTCCCAGAGGGTACTAAGCTTGTGAAATATACTCCTCTTACAGTTCCCAGAGAATATCCATGACACTCTACACACAAGATGTCGACATGTTGCTGATACACATATCGCAGTCCCGTTTTATTTCGACTAATGTTGACAGAGTTAGTGCCCCTGTTTTACGGAGCCACATTTGCCTAAATGTGAGGGAGGGTACTAAGCTTGTGAAATATACTCCTCCTACGGTTTCCAGAGAATATCCCTGGCACTCTACACACAAGATGTCGACATGTTGCTGTTAGGCATATCGCAGTCCCGTTTTATTTCGACTAATTTTGACAGAGTAACTGCCCCTGTTTTACGGAGCTTCAATTGCCTACTTGTGAGAGAGGGTACTAAGCTTGTGAAATATACTCCTCTTACAGTTTCCAGAGAATATCCATGACACTCTACACACAACATGTCGACATTTTGCTGATACGCATATCGCAGTCCCGTTTTATTTCGACTAATTTTGACAGAGTTACTGCCCCTGTTTTACGGAGCCACATTTGCCTAAATGTGAGGGAGGGTACTAAGCTTGTGAAATATACTCCTCCTACGGTTTCCAGAGAATATCCCTGGCACTCTACACACAAGATGTCGACATGTTGCTGATACGCATATCGCAGTCCCGTTTCATTTCAACTAATTTTGACAGAGTTAGTGACCCTGTTTTACGGAGCTTCATTTGCCTAATTGTGAGAGAGGTGTAAGCTCTTAGAGAATATCCCTGACACTCTACACACAAGATGTCGACATGTTGCTTATACGCATATTGCAGTCCCGTTTCATTTCGACACATTTTGACAGAGTTACTGCCCCTGTTTTACGGAGCTTCATGAAAAATACCAAAAAAATGTAATCTCATGTTGGGGATGTTGTGCTCTCAGAGCACACTTGTTAAGCTTGTTCGCGGATCTCCTGAGTCGATGTGAAAACACCGTCATACATATATGCTTCAGACATATTCTTAAAGCCACGAGCCAACCACGTGTAGAGAAACAACGTCTATTATACCTATGATTCTATATACGTAAAATCAGCACTACAAAAAATTCTCTCTTTATTGCACAGGTTTAATACAAAATACATTCATGAATACTATTATGATGCAAAAATATTTCTTTATATTGTTTAAACGTTAGATTGTCACATTTCTTGATTTTGCCGTTTCGCGGTTACAAAATAATAAAATTATATTACGTGATATATGTATTGAGCGACCAGAATCCATCCTTAGAGTGTCTTAAGAAGCTGTCAATGGGCTCTTACAAAGCCTATTAAAAAGTCTGACGTCAATAGTTTTGTACTTCCTGGTATGTTTATCAACTCTGGAACAAACTATTTGTTTTTGACGGCAGCTGGCAAACACTTGTTTTCACGAACGTCATCAATGTTGTCAATTCCTCGCACAGAGCCAATATGTTGTCTGTATGCCCTTGCCCTGGAAGAAACATCATAAAAACATAATAATATCAAAAAATGATCATTAAAACTTTTCATGCACGTATATAGCATCACTACAAAATAAATGCGCTTAGATGTATATATAATAAAAAAATTGTGTTTTATGGTATGGGCTGGTAACACACACACACACACACACACACACACACACACACACACACACACACACACACACATATATATATATATATATATATATATATATATATATATATATATATATACTCAACAACAAAAGTTCCTGTGACACCAATACTTTAGTGTATTTTTCAAACAAGTAAAGTTTGGTTTTCAATATTGTAGTACATGTATGGAATCAAGTCACCAAAACGCAACTGCTTCAGAAAAGCATGCATTCCATGCAAAAGTTGACTTTTATGCAAGCCCCATGCATTTCACTACCCAAGAATGGGTATACAAACATGTGCGTTAACGGGATTCCATATGCGTTGTTTAGCATCGTGCTGACAACAACCACCCAGGAAAAACAACAAAATTACGCAATTATTCAACATTACGAAATGCAACGCCTGAGTGTCTGCGAGCCATTGGTATGCTTGAAGCAGGATCGAGTCAACGTGATGTTAACGTCCGCAGAGACACCATTTGGGGTGTATGGCAACGTTGGCAACAGACGAATGCAGTCAGGGACCATCCTCGGAGTGGCAGGCCACGCGTAACCAATAATCGACAAAACAACTGGATTCGAACAACACACCGACGAAATCGATTCCAGCCAGCAACAGTGACTGCAAGAAGCATCCCTGGCCTTCGACGAATATATTCACAAACCGTACGTCGTCGCCTCAGATGTGCAGGGATTGTCGCCAGAAGACCCGCCAGACGTCCCATTTTGACAGGAAACCACCGTCAAGCACGTCTACAGTGGTGCAGACCAGCGTCTACGCTGGACGACCATGCAGTAGGGACAAGTTTTATTCACTGACGAGTCTCGTTTTCACCTCAGCCACAGCGGTGGACGGATTCGAGTGTACCGACGTCGAAGTGAACGTTACGTCAATCATTGTGCCATGGAAGAAGATAGGTTCGGGGGCGGCAGCTTTATGGTATTGGATGGGATTACGGCAAGGCTATCGCGAACAGGTCATAGGCCCTGTTGTTCTACCGTTTTTGCGTCGTCATGGCCCAGGCATTACCTCTCAACATGACAACGCCCGGTCTCATATTGTTCAACTTGTTCAAGATTGTCTTCCACAAAACAACGTGAACGTCATCCCCTGGCCGGCTCGCTCCCCTGATCTCGAGCACATGTGGGATGAGATGGATCGGCCCCTTCGACGTCAACCACGTGTTCCACAGACACTCCAGGAACTTCGAAACATGCTCCAACAGATATTGACAGATATCCCACAGGACTTTGTCCTGGTCCATTCCATGAGACAAAGATGTGTTGCTTGCATCGCAACCAGAGGTGAACACACACGCTATTGATTTGTAAATTGACGTTTTGGCATGTTCATGTTTTTTATTAAATCACGCATTTTCTGAAGTCAGTTTGGCAAATTAAACCATTTGAACACTTACAGGAGTCTTTTATCTGTAGCAAACCGAAATTGTTTCAGATTTGGTAAAAAACATAACTTTGCATTAAATCTTATTTAATGTCACAGGAACTTTTGTTGTTTAGTATATAATACGCCTACGCAGAATACATGCCCATTCTTGTTTTAAAAGGATGTGATCGGTCATAATGTTATTTGTAGTCAAGGAAACTCTTTTCCGACCTATCAGATCAATGACCTGTACTTGTTTGTTGTTTAACGCCGCACTCAGCAATATTCCAGCTATATGACGGCGGTCTGTAAAATAATCGAGTCTGGACCAGACAATCCAGTAATTGACATCGTGAGCATCGATCTACTCAATTTGGAAACGATGATATGCATCAACCAAGTCATTGAGTCTGACCACCCGATCCCGTTAGTCGCCTCTTACGACAAGCATAGACGCCTTTTTTTTGGTTGCTGAAGACCTATTCTAACCCGGATCTTCACGGGCATCAGGTCACTGAAATCCAATGACGTCAGATCAACATTTCCAAATACAGAATTACCCACATTGTACAATCTGGTCATGCTGGCATGGGTAAATGAAGCAATAAATGACATGGGTATTGTAACCCATGATCAAATGTAACTTACGTCCAGCTGCAATGTATAATCAGCAGTAATATATACTGTACCGCAAACGAAACGTCAGCCCCAGTACCATTGCATGAAAAGTTAATATCCGGGTAATTTTTGTCAAAATTTTCTAAAATTTAATATAACCTAGTCCGGAAAAATGGATTTGATGATAAAAAAACAAAGCAGATGACAATAAAACCGATCCCCCAAACGTATCACGGCAACGGCCAAGGTAACCCTTTGCACGTGTGTTCCGTGCACATTGAAATGCAAAGCGTTCCCCTATATCTTGCCCTATAAAAATCAAACCAGATCGGATAACATTCATTCGTTATTGAATTGCTACCACATGCCAAGATTGACAAGAAATCAGCGACACCAAGCCCTCGGACAAACTGCAAGCTGGACAAACCGCCCGGCAAGTACCCAATGCATTTCAAGTCCACGTAAGGACCATATCGGGCTCCAGCAACGGTACCAGACCACCAACTCTACAGATGACCGACGTCAGGATCGTCAGATTGTGCGACAGCATCTTCAAGATCGCTTTGTTACTGCTGTGGAAACTGCTCGACAGACCATGGGGACACACCAGCGAACACATATAAATATATGTATAAACACTCTTCTTTAAAATGTCCCATCCAGAAGCCTCTCGTACGTCGGCCCTGCGGTCTTCCAGCTAGGTACATTGATCAAGTCTGAAGACCACACGCCATACCTCATTTGGCACCTCGCCGCAACCACGAGTTTCAGCATGATAACGCCCGTGTCCACACTGCGAGAGTAACAAGAGACTTCCTCCAGCAGAATGGCATCAGAACCATGCAGTGGCCTGCCCTCAGTCCCGATTGAAATCCCATTGAGCACCGGTGGGACGAGATTCAAAGACGGCTGAATGACGTCCGACCAAGGCTGACAACTGCAGCTGAACTGCGTCAGGTGTTCCCCACAGTGTGGGCTCAAGTGCCTATGGCCTTCATCAACCGCCTCATCAATTCCATGTATCGACGTTGCACGGCAGTCATCAATGCACATGGCGGACACACGAGATACTGACTTGTGATGCCATTTTCTCAGAGACTAGTATTGTGTTTCACTTTAAGAACATTTGACACTAGACCTTGATGATCAGTTTCATCTGTTTAATATGTCTCAAATTATGTTTACAGTGTTTTGACAAATAAGGTTTCTCATATATCTATCCATGGTGACGTTTCTTTTGCGGTTCAGTATATGTGACCAACCATGAGATAAGGGACCTTATGGCTGACAAAAACACATTTTCACTTTTCATCATATTTTAAAACTACTGTATCTTCGGAACAAAAAAAAATACAATTCACAAGCTTCAATTCATATTTATTACAGAGATACATGCCATTAAACACTTGGACTAATTTTCCGACTAATAACTGTATCAGAAAAATAGTAGACATAATGTATGATGAATTAATAGTAGACATGTTTATATTACATTATTTAAGAATATATAATAAGTCCGCACGCATGGCGATCTTTACTGGAGTAAGTTGACGTGAAACGTTTTTATGACGTCACAGCAAAATTGTATCCAAGTACCCATAAGGTCCCTTTTCTCCTTTTCACATCAGCGTGGCGGGACAGGGAGCTCTAAGTATCAATTACTAGAATGGTCGGGGTAAATCTATCTTATCCCCCCCCCCCCCTTTTCCGTTCCTCCCTTATCACTTATGCTTTCGATGCACGTGAGTCATATTCATTACGTCCATGCTTGTGTGGTTCAACCCTATACTTGCGTCCCTTGGGCACGCCAGAAACCTATGATTGTTGGTTCGAACCCTGGTTCGCCCCGATTATGTTTCTAGGTTTGTCAGCACCATACCCGTGCTCGTGGGTTTCACCGAAGTGGTAAACGTCTAAGACCTGCATCACTTCGGGCTTTCCTCCCACATTAAGCTGACACGCCGCGATATAACTGGAATAATGTTAAAAACGGCGTTAAAACCAACTCACTCACTCACTCACTCAACCCTATCTACAGACCTCTATTTGTAGGAACAATGTTTCCGACAAAAACTTGCCTTAACTTCAATCTCCCCTCGTCGTGAGATGTTGTAGCTCTCCTTTTCCTGCAGGATTCTGGCAGTAACGTCGCTCATGTGTATCTTCAATGCTGTGACCACAAACAAGCAGTGAATACAATGCACTGACAGCATCACACGCCAATTGCAATCTCCCGATACAACCAGTATTTCAAGGTTAGAAACTCTTACGCCAATCATAATTGCACTCATATAGGTAACCATTCATGAGCTGAACAAGGTGTTCAGTAAACTGACGAATTTGATTTTTATGTATTTCAGCTGCAATATATCAGTTATCGTTCATAGTTCATAAACATATGAATTCCCTGTACTTGCAACGTTTACTATGAACTGTTTGGTTTCATTTTGACAAACAACAGGCAACGCTTGTAATGACATTTTATGTCTGCTTCTGACAATACAAACTCACCTTCTCCGTTTGATTCCATTCTGGCGGCCATGTTGACCGTATCGCCAAAAAGACAGTATCTAGGCATGATGTTCCCGACCACCCCTAGGGAAAGGAATTCAGTCAGTATGCACAGGGTCTTGACATGTATCTGTTTAATGTCATACTATTTACTATGTCCTTATGTACATGGAGGCACAGGTGGTCGCGTTGTCTGAGGCGCCGCAATTCGCCTAGTAGGGTTGCGTCCCTAGGACACAGGGCGGTCGGGTAGCCTAGTGGTTAAAGCGTTCGCTCGTCACGCCGAAGACCCGGGTTCGATTCCCGACATGGGTACAATGTGTGAAGCCCATTTCTGGTGTCCCCCGCCGTGATATTGCTGGAATATTGCTAAAAGCGGCGTAAAACCATACTCACTCACTCACTCACTCCCTAGGACACAACAGAAATCTATGATCGTGGGTTCGAATCCCGCTCGTCAGCCGCCTATGTTATCGGTAATATTTCGTCTAGATTCTGGTGGTATTTTAAATGTATGGGAGAGGGACGAGAGATGATTTAGGCGTTCGTTTCCGAAAAGATTATTTAATATCTTTTTAATGTTACTAGAAGTGTTAAAAAAGATATTTCGATGAGACACAATTACAAAATATGATCCGATTTTTTCCAGCACATTTGCGTCATACGTGACTCTTATGTTTCACAAGTGGTAAACGTCTGAGACCTGCATCGATTCGGGATTGCCTCAAACGTCAAGCCGACACGCCATAATATATATATAAAACTGAAATACTGTTCATAGCGGAGTTAAACTAACCTCACTATCTGTACAGTTCTCATACCATAGTAGGGTGTTGAAAGGTGTGTTTTGTCGGGTAAGCAGTGTGTGTTACTAAATATCGATCGACAACGTTTATCAATGCTCAGACCGCCTCCATGGTCTAGTGGTAGAGCGTCCGCCCGGAGAGCGGAAGGCCCGGGGTTCGATCCCCGGCCGCGACATACCAAAAGACGTTAAAAGATGGTACTTGTTGTTACCCTGTCTGGCGCTCGGCATTAAGGGGCTAAAACAAGGACTGGTCGGTTCGGTGTCAGTATACTGTGTCTGAGTGGGGTATTCATGTTAAACTGCGGCATGGTATCTCAGTGAGCTAGCACTATAAATCGGCATCAGTCCGGACTAGTACAAGCAGCCGCACAAACACACACACGTACATGCACGTCGCTATATAAGTGCAATAATCTTGGACGCGACGTTAAACCCCATTTCACCTCACCTCACTTTATCAATGCTCAAGATATCAACCACTGGTGTATGTGGCCCAGAACTGAACTACCCACCTGCAGCACAACTACCAGTGTGAAGTCCTATCCTCAGCTTCATTTGGTATTCAGGACAATGTGAAACTCTAAAACTTCCAATCGACTGCAACAAGTCGAGTGCCATGTTGGCAATCTCAGTCGCATGGCGGTTGCCGTTTCTGTCTGGAAGTCCACTGACAACCATGTAGGCGTCTCCGATGGTCTCCACTTTGTACACGTTATGGTGGCTGATGTTGGTGTCGAACATGGTGTACAAGTCATTGAGAAGGTCGACTACCTGTATAGGAGTGCTTCTGGCAGACAAATCGGTAAAGCCAACTATATCGGAGAAATACACAGTAACAGATTCGAAGATCTCCGCTTCAACCTTACAGCCTCGTTTCAATTTTTCTGCTATTGAACTGGAAATGAAAGAGATCAATAAATCAGTTTATCATGTTATATGGCAGTGTAATTTATTGTTAAACAGTTATTGTAACTGTATTGCACGGTTTCTGTTTAGATTAAGTAGAAGCTCATAGCATTGTATTCGGACAATGATTAGTTGTCAGGAATGAAGTACCATTTAATGTAAGCAGTGCTGAGGACGTTATTATATTTAGATAATGGATCTTGCATGGATGGATGTCAAGCGTAATAGAAACATGTGGAATATTCTGTGAAGTTCAAGTGTCACTGGACTGATCTGGCACTGTGAGGAAAGTTCGGGAAGCTACTTAGACTAAAGAAGTGGAGAGGACGCGTGCTTGTCTCATCTCACATTTCATCTCACTTTACATCAAGAACAGCTGTTGTGTGAAGGTCACTTATCACCCGAATTCCCAGCCTTGGACTATCTCGGAAGCTTGACCACTGTTGCTGATTGGTGAACATTGTTATCACTGAACCTTTGGCTATTACCACTGCCATCATATTTTGTATTTGATACTGCCATTGAATATTGTACTACCACCCTATTGCCATCTTCCTGAGCCAAGAGAGTTAACTGACTTTTAAAGTCCAGTTTCCACCCTTGCCGAACTAGGCTGGAATTACTGGGCTCGATCGTAGCGCGACCAGTGGCTATTACAGGTTATGTCCCTTCTATGCCTCTCCAATGGACCAATCAGATTCCACCTCTCGTATCACTTGCGTTTACTTCACACAAAATGCTGGCGCCCAGTCAGGACGATCTGATCGATAATCAAGATCTATATTGCGATAAAAGGGGTCTTACATCGCGAAATGCATCAAATCACGTGTGCACCTTGATTAAAACATGAAAATATTTGGAAAATATCCCTTGACAACGAGTTGGCGGTGCACATGCTTTGCAAATCCTGCAATCGACCGAAATCTGCACGACAGTTTACGAACCGGATTTTGATTTCGGTGCTCGATTTTGATTGGACTATGTATAGAATCGTTAGTCCAGCCAAAATGTAACTCCATAATACCAGCCTAGTTCGGCAAGGGTGGAAACTGAATTTTTTCTAGTCAGTTAACTCTCTTGCCTCGGCAAGATGTTGTAAATTCTGTGTCCTAATTTGTATTGACTTGTATACCTTGTTAATTGTAGAATACAAGAAATGATTGATACCATTTGTTGGTTTCAAACTTAATTTCTTTTATGTACATATTTCTGGGTTAACATAATGTTTTAATTTGGGAATCGACACGTAACGATTAAACATTTAGGTAATGGTTCAATTTATTGCCTTATATGTACCATCAACAAATATAAAGCCAGGTACTTTTCCGGAACTTGTTTCAGAAAATAGTTACGGTAGTTTCTGCACATTCATAATTTCTAATCCAATTCAAAGTCATGAAACTTGCTTTATATTGACCAAATATATAGTTCATCGTGATACATGCTATCTATAACAAGTGCGAAAAAGGCACGCACAGTCCGCTCCTTTTTTTAACCACCTGCGATTCGGCTTTGTTCTTTCGTGTATTTCTAAAATAGCAGCGAGACAAATACATCTTGATGAATTCTGACAGAAGTGTCGTAAAATCAGTTCAATAGCCTTTCGAATGGAAGATTTGTTATTCATCCGAAGTAATTTGGTGTAGAGGAGAAACAGCGTCTTCAATGGACAGATTTGTGTCGATATGTGCCCACAACATCAGGGTGATTGATAGTGGCATCATCATCAACTGTGACGTCCCTTAATAGAACCTCTACAAATGATATCTGCAAAATGTCAACCGTTTCGTTGAGTCGGGTGAAATTATCACTTGCTTATTTGCTTGTTTTACGCCGATTTGAACAGTATTTCAGTTATATCACGGTGTGTCAGCTTGCTTTTTTGGAGGAAAGTCGGAATTAATTAAGGCAGTAGACGTTTACCACTTTGGTGAAACCCATGAGTACGAGACAAACCTAGGAACATAATCAGGATGAATCTGGGACTCAAACCCACTACCATAGACTCCTGTAACGCCTAAGGGGCGCAACACTGCACGCCGAATTGCGGCGCCTTAGATGGGGCAACCCCTGTCTGATAGATGTTCAGGTGTATACTGACACTGGCAGCATCCTGAACAGCAACGTATCCGACTTCTTCCTCTCTTCCACGAGGTCGCTAGTCCGCTGCTCGATGATTTCCTCAAGGTTGTTGGCGTACTTCTCCAGCATCAGGATCATGTTATCGACGATGTTCAGCTTCCTGTTGAAAAACAAATTATGTGAAAACACTCTTTCCGATTAAGCACATTCTACACTTTTCTTCGAATGTCTTCGTGATCTTGTGGAAAGAGCGTCTGAGTGGACAACGGATGGTCGGCGGATCTCTCCGCGACTGCGTTAATCCCAAGGAAATGAAACTTGTTGTTTCCCTGCCTGGCGCTCGGCATAAAAACAAGACCAGTCGGTTCGGAGTATATACGGTGTATGAGTGGGGTATCCGTGCTACGCTGCGTTTCTAAGTGGGCTAGCACTATAAGATCGGCATTAGTCTGGACTAGTACGTACGCACATACACACGCACACACGCTATATACAACTGCGATAATCTTGAACCTGACGTTAAATCACATTTCACCTCACCAGACTTTACCTCACTTACTCTACTCTTCGGTACGGAAAACGATTAAAATCCGAACGCGAACATAATTTGACCATTCGTCGTTTGATTGGGATAGTGTTCCGGCGCATTGCGGGGGCACGGGTGGCCCAGTCGTGTAAGGCGCCGCGATTCGCCGTGCAGAGTTGCGTCCCTTGGGCACGCCAGAAACCTATGATTGTGGGTTCGAATCCCGGTTCGCCCCGATTATGTTTTCTAGGTTTGTCAGCACCATACCCGTGCTCGTGGGTTTCATCGAAGTGGTTAACGTCTGAGACCTGAATCACTTCGGGCTTTCCTCCCACATCAAGCTGACACGCCGCGATATAACTGGAATACTGTTAAAAGCGGCGTTAAACCCAACTCACTCACAATGTAGATCTACCTATTTATCTGTGTGGTTCATAGACGCATTTTGCACTGTGAAGCCCACTCTCAACATAAGCAACCGTAGTCTCAGCTTATGCATCAAGACATGAAAATATCCAAGGCCAACCAGACGCGGTTGAGAGCACGAGCAACTATCAACCTCGGGGCACCATGACACACCAAATCAACCAAATCACACTTTGTCAACTGCTGATTCGGTCGTCCCGTTCGTCTAGCATCAGGAACTCTGGGCTTATTCAACATACAATTGTTTATGATTGAAGCACGAAGTGGCGCGTGTTTTAGACGTTTACTACTTTGGCGAAACCCACGAGCATGTCTACTGCGCTAGTACCTAGAAACACAATCAGGGCAAACCGGGATTCTAACCCCCGACCAAAGGTTTCCGACAGGCAAGTTGAACGCCTCAGACAATTGAACGATCCGTGATCCTATTAAAGACCATATGTGGCAAGGTACTGAATGTATTCGACTTACCTGCCCTTGTTCAGTGAAAACAATGTTTGCTTGATACTTGTACAGGAGGGTCTCGTGTCAGGGACTTCCCCCCAACAACTTTTCATCAATACCACGGCTGATTCAGGGACGTCTTCAAGGCTGGACTCAGGCTCGTTTTGGAGGTGGTTGCCAGTGTCAGGGCGGAACAAAGGGTTTCGTGGTTGTGTTAGGTTCTCAATAATCTCTGAAGAATACAATTGATGTGTGTTTGGTACCATTAGAATTCGTGTAGGTTAAGTTTTTATAAGGGTAACGCCATTTTTCAGGGCATTATCATTTGCAGAGGCCTGAGGTCTTCCATTAACTGCCCGACTAAGGAGGGCAGTTGAAAAGCCCGAGGGCTTCTGCAAATGATAATGACCTGAAAAAGAGCGTTACCGTTATTATAGCTAAAATGGATGGAATATTTTATCAAATATAAAGAAACAACATCGGTTTTGAAACACTTACTGCAATCAACGCGAATGTCACTGACCACATTTTACAAATATGGAAACAAACCAGATGACGTCACTATAATACGTGACGTCATTTTCTCTACCCTATGACGTCACCTAACAACGGGCTTGATAATGGCCCGTCGTCAAGCAATATGAGGGCATTATCAAGTTACAGTGGCCCGCTCATTTCTGATAACGTGCGGGCGGTTTAATGATAATTCTATCCATTTTAGCTATAATATCTAATAAGTGTAGTTTTCTTGTTCTATAGTATAAATAATGTACCTTCGGGTGTGTACTCATCTGTATCATAAGGTGGACAGCGTTGCAAGATCTCGTACATTATAACACCAAAGCTGTATACGTCCGCCTTCTGAAGCTGAGTCGGAGCCATGGGGTCTTTAGAACGCAGCACCTCCGGGGCTGTCCAGAATTGCCCTGTGTTCAACACAGGAGATGGCATTTTAACTGATGAACGGTATACGCTTGGGTATGGTCCAAAAACCGGCATGCAAAGATGTTATAGCTTTATATTGTGTACAACCGTGGTTAAGAGGAGAAGCGTCAGAAAGAATAACACTTTGTCTCAATCTTTCTGAGCGATTATATTTTAACAGTCACCTGTTGGCTTTAATATTTTGCAAAAACAGCGATCTGAACCACGATTTAACATACTCGCATTGTGTAATACCTGCAAAGTTCATACTCGCATTGTGTAATACCTGCAAAGTTAACTTTCGCGTGACGTAAAGTTTGGTTTGTCTGTTGTTTAACGCCGCACTCAGAAATAGTCCAGCTAAATGACGGCGGTCTGTAAATAATCGAGTCTGCTCCAGACAATCAAATGATTGATATCATGAGCATCGATCTACGTAATTGGGATACGATGACATGCATCAACCGTTAGTGGCCTCTAACAAGCATAGTCGTCTTTTACGACAAGCATGGGTTGCTGAAGACCTATTCTATCCCGGATCGTCACGGGTCGCGTGACATAACGAGGTAAAATACATCGATTATCATATTGATGGAATTAGTGTTCCTAACTGAGCTAAAACAAACGATCGGAAATGAAGCAGTAACCAAATGTAACTTAAGGTTCAGAATAATACAGCGCAATGAATACGTGGTTGCAACTGTTGGTCTAGGTATTTCTTACACACCTGTGGGTGAGAAACCCATTTGAGATAACTGGTATCAAACATATGTGTGAGATCGAATTCCAGGCCCGTGATTGGCTACTCCATTGTGATGACCTGAGGTCAGATGATAACGGACTACTTTCCTGAGTGTAAGTCATTCATAAGTTGCTCGTGCTTCAGTCGAATGTTCACCTACGTCTGTAGTGAACAACAGGACCGTGTAATTAATAATAAAAATAAACAAACTCGTCCTCGTCTGCGAGTTTGTTTGGTATTGTTAACAGTTACATTATCTGTTGTTATGTCAACATTATCGTTTTTTCAGAGTGTAAACCCCCTGGATGCCACAGCGACACATATGTCCCTCCTCTTCAACCCTCACTTCGAAATCGAATAAAATTCAAAATATATCACGCAGACTAATACACTTCTGTTTATCATTTACTGTCATTTTAGGCAAGTCAAAATTACTGAAAGTGACTTCTGAAAATTAGATACATTGTAAACCTCGCCAAATCACAATTCACGGCGTTATATAAATATTTATTGTGTGTTTAGAAATCTAAATATCGGATATTCACTCGAATAATTAAAGTAGAAAAATAGCATATTAGCGATCACGGGTATCAAATCACTAATGATAATTCTGAAACGTCTCTGATGAGCCTAGAATCGTTTAGAATGTTTTGGAAAATACGCATACACGAACGCCTAAGTGTACATTCCGCAATATTGGATTGGATTGTGTTAACAAAATGCCGGTTATAAGACGCCTATTCGATCAGGTTTATTTCAAACTCAGCTGCTATACATGACTCCCTGAATTCCTCATACATTTTCGAAACAATGGATAAATGGTCTTTGTCACCAATGCAAATTATCTAGATGAAATCATGCGTAATAAATTAGGTATGGAAACGAAAAATGTGCTTGGAAAACTGTACTTCTCCTTGTTACATTGGAAAACATGGTAAACAAATAACAGTACGCATATTGTCAGAATGTTTCTGATTACTTACATGAAACATTTATGTGTTTACGATCCCCCAATCAACGAAAATCCTCCTCTGGAAATCCCGCGTACTGTTGTCAGTGAACACGCCATTTTGTAAAAGTCGGTCACCGGTAGTGATGTCATACAGAAGTAAACATTGTTGTACATATTTGGTAATTCCTTTGAGGTGTAAACTTTCAACTTGTATTGGCACCCAGCGTGTTCTTTGTTTTTGTCTAGTTTGCATTTTCATCATCGCCTTGATAATCCACAGATGTGACGGAAACCGTTTTGTGTAGGGTCACATTATTTATGAGAAGTAAGCAGCACATACTTAGGATGACGTCACTTATGACAGTGGTGTTGTGTATTAATGCGCTACTGCAATCATGAGAATAGACAAAATTCATCGGTTCGATGCTAAAAAGGTGCGATTTTAGGGTGTGTAAGAAACAGATTACTGCACTCGTGCCTGTCAGATACCATTGATCTTACAACTCGTTGTTACAAAGCGTATCTAACTCGCTTTCGCTCGTTAGATACGTTTTGAAACAACTCGTTGTAAGATCAATGGTATCTGACAGACACGAGTGTAGTAATCTCTATTTCATAGAATTATGACAACACGTGACTAGCCTATTGCATCTTCAGCAATACTATCATGAAAAAAGATTGATTGACTAATTGATTTACTCCAACCTTGAAAAAGTTGATACTCTGAAGGACGTCGCAAGTGTTTCATGCCGAAATCGGTTAGTTTAAGTACCCAGCGGTTGTCAACTACACAGTTGCTGCTCTTTACGTTGCCATGGTGGCGAAGAGGTGATGAATGAATGTAGCATAAACCCTGAAACATCAATATCGTATTTAATATAAATATATATTATCCACGTGAGAATGCATTTTCAGTCCCGAAAGGCGTAACCAGTACGTCTTTCTTAACATATGGTAAAGACAATTATTTAACCAAGGCAAAAGTATTTGTGAACATAAACGTATTGACAAGTTACTGACCTGAAAGTGTTATATAAGGCCGATATGATCAAATGGACTATACGGCATTAAGAATTAATATATTTCCCAACTGTGGACGGCATGTCGATAAAGGTGGTTAGCTTGGTGCCGATTTTTAAAAGAAATCCTGGATCAAATATAGCCTAATAACTATTCTATTATGAAATTGAGGCATTTCAATAACGTGTATGACTAACACAAAAATCGCCAGGCTGAATTTAAATTTGATATTTTGAATCTTTAAAATATCTTATTGAAAACAAAATTCTTCAGAAAGCATTTTTGATCTTTCATCAACTCAACAACAACCAGTTCATAATAATTCTTGCAAGAGAAGAGTTCCGAAATATATTATTCTAAAATAATCTTATATGATAGCTACATTTACCATTGTGCACTTATTCATAGGCTTCCACATAACACAAACTCGATCAGCTTCAGGCATAAAAGACACATGAATTGATTTTACCACAAAATAATACATAAAGACGAACGAGAACATCGCGTTGATATATAGTTAGTCAGTTTTGCTTCTGTTATTGTCATTCTTATAGGACACAAAAAGCTCTGGTATTGACCAGATGCTACGTGTTTCCATAATGGACCTTCAATGACAAATGTCCTCAAACGACATTATTTTGATGGGTTTTGTGATAAAATAATTCATCCTGTTTCATTTTGTGTCCACTCACATTGACCACATCGGTGATTAGACTCATCTTGAACATCCACTCTAACTTGATGTCTTCATTACCTATAATATCCTGCAAGAACAATGCTATTAGAATTCTGGTCAAGGACTGAGAGAAAACACATCGGCAGGATTTAGACAGATTTTCATGACAGAACTCAGATCCACTATAGGATTTAAATCAATGGTTGGACTGAGTTCCATGGTAGAACAAGATCTGAATTTGTTTCATATGTACGAATGCTGAATCTTTTTGAAACACAGCATATTACTTTTAGCCACTTGAATTTGTAAAGGTATTTATAAATTTAAGCATTATGTAATCACTCAGGACGGGTTACTGCCTAGATGATAGAACTTGTACTGAGAATTATGGGTTGGGAGGCCTTCATTTTGAATATTATTATATTGATACAAGATCCATGATATGACTCAGATCCATAGTGCTACTCGGGCCCTTTGTGGGATTCGGGTTTCATGATAATATTTAAAGCCCTGGTTGTAGTCAGATGCATCATAGAGACCAGTGGTTGTTCCGTACCGTTATATGAATGTTATATCACCAGATAGATATGACTCCTCCTTCTGGTGCATGCCTCATTATTCATACTACCGATGAATACGTGACGTTACATTTTAAGACAATTGCTATCCTTGAAAATGAACAGTGAAAATTATAACATTTACACAATAACATTTACACTACTGAACTACTATTTGCAACCTACATGACTTATATAGAAGGGAACATGTTTCACAGTTATTTGAGACCTTATACCTGCTTCCCTCAATCGTGTCAGCTTCCTTCCTCATTGGTCTGTCGGTACTACACCCCCGTACGTCTACGACCAATTGCATTAAGATCTTAGTTCTTGCGAGGGACGGTCGGATAGCTTAGTGGTTAAAGTGTTCGCTCGTCACGCAGAAGACCCGGGTTCGATTCCCGACATGGGTTCAATGATATTGATACTGCTGGAATATTGCTACAAGAGGCGTTAAACCATTATCACTCGCTAGTTCTCGCTTTGACTACCCAGGACACCTAATTGCGGGTAACGTCAGAAATACCTTTCGTCCGACCAATCAAACCGTCGTTTACCAGAAGGTGAAATTTGTTTTCTAATCATTCAACCTCGAAAAGGTTTACACGGGGTATTCCGAACGACAGTTACGTCTATACGACTAATTCCGTCAAAACCATCCTCTGTTGTTGCTTCAATAGGATAAGCATTTAAAACGGTAGAGGCTTTCCATGACCCGAGGTAAGTACTACCATAAAGTCAGGGTTATCTATTAGACATTCCAGAATCTTCTTTTGTTCAGTTTTCAAATTATAAATCAAGAACTCTGTCATAATCATTTTCAAAGCGTATTCTGGAATGTCCGTCAGTTTGAAACTAGTGCCGTAAAGCTACAGAAAGCTCCTTTCGGGTTGGCTTATGGCGACTTCGTGTTAGTCATTTCATTGGTGGGGTAATGCTCGCGAAAGGTCTTTCTGACATGACCTGTAGAGACCTGTACTCAGATCTCCGTGTAGCAGTAGCGAGCACTGAGGTCTGATTTTAATGAGAATGGTCGACGATCCGCGTCTTTAGTTCTGTTTAGCCACAACAAGATGACACGCCACGATGTTACTGAAATAGACTCACTGTTCAAAGTGACCATAAACTCCACTCACTTAAAATAAATGGTTGTCATGAATTTATTGATTGATGTGTTGTTGTAAAACCTTTTAACTAAATATGTGTAAGAAGGTAAAACTTCACGCCAATCTCATTGTTTAGAAGGGGATGCAAAAATGGCTTATTCTCTGAAGGAAAATTTATCATGTGCTCATATAAAGACAATCACAAAAGTACTGTCGTTCTTTAATTATAGGAACATTTTATAAAATACTATCTAAACAGACAAAAACCTCAAAATCATATGCTACTCGAAAGAAGTTAAGGACAACCCGATTCTTTCATATCACTATAGGGGCGTTGAGGTACATGTAGCCTCGTGGTTTTAGCGTTCGCTCGTCACGTCGAAGACCCGGGTTGGATTCCCGAGATGGGTACAATGTTTGAAGCCCATTCCTGGTGTCCCCCGCCGCGATATTGCTGGAAATTTGCTAAAAGTGGCGTTAAACCATACTCACTCACCCACCCACTCATTTATGAAACTATAGTTAGTCATCACATGACAGATTAACTGTAGTAATATTAAAGAACCGGGTGGTCCTTAAGTCCATTGATTAACTGTATTAGAAATATGAAATAACCTTCTTTGGAGTAGTTTACACTGAAACGAGAATGTGCATCGTACTGACAAAACAAAAGTTCATATCGGGGTGGATCTCCGATTTTAATCCATGAACAGAGAATTCTTCTGTCACCTGAGTGCTGGTGCCTCAATTATGAAATAATCTTGTGAAAGAAATTTACTTGGAAATAGACATTCTTTGTTATGGGTTTTCGGGTAGTTCTGGGTATTTGAAATAAATTTGAAATAAGCAGACGATTTGAAATGTTAAAATGTCCTCGTCGGGCAAACCAGTTGTTAAAGTATGAGCACGGAGCCGGAACCACTGGATATGGGAACAGACATGTCATTCAAAATAGAGGCTTCGAGTTACAAAGACGAGCTGTTAGAAACTTGTGATTTAGGGTTTAAGATTTCTCAAATCAATTAAAGCACTCAAAATTAAAAAAAAACATAAAAACTTTATGGATAACAACTTCTTATTTATTGCATTCAGCAACATTTCGATGTAGATTCGTACATCATTATCACTTAAGCTTATAACGGTGTAAGAATCAACGATCACTAACTTATTTCTAGAATGCCAACCAACAGTTAATTAAACCAGTTGCTTTTATCAATCTCATTCCAATCAGATCTTAGTTCTCGCTATCGCTCACAAAGATCTGAGGATATCCCATTACGGGTCACGTCAGAACCACCTTTGATCCGACAAATCAAAGCCTCGCTTACCAGATCATGAAAGTGACAGTCGGAATTTGTTTTCTAATCATGCAACCTCGAAAACGTTAACAAGGGGTATTCCGAACGACAGTTACGGCCCGTACGATTCAAAATCATCGTCTGTCTCTCGCTTCCGTGGGATAAACATTTGGACGGAGGAGGCATTGCACAGTGCGTGGGAAGCACTGCCATACAATCGCAACCATATATAAGACATTCATGTATGTTCGTTTGTTCAGTTTTCAAAATTTTAATCGAGAACTGTGTCAACATATTTTTCAAGTGTAGGCTGAAATGGAAGTCGCCAGGTTGAAACGAGTGCCGTAAAGGTCGAGTAAGCTGCTTTCTAATTGGCTGATGTCGACTTCTTGTTAGTCGTTTCAGTGGTCGGTCAAAGACCGCGAAAGGTCGTTCTGACGTGACCCGAAATGGGATGTCCTCAGATCTTTGTTTAGCGGCAGCGAGAACTTGATCTGATTTAAATGAGATTGCTGCTTTTATTTACCTGTAAGCTACCTTTAGAACAGTAGAGCGTGAGCCAACATGGCAACCGGTCATCAACGCAAAGGCCAATAAATGCATTGACGTTCTCGTGGCGCAAATCTTTCATCTGAAGGGAACACACACATTATCCAATGCAAAAAAGATATTATATACTTTAATAAACGGTCCACATGACATGATGGACATTGACCATGTGAACACCTGTGTTAGAATATGTTTTATGAAGCGTGTTATGTTCTATTGCCAGGGCATCCAATGGGTTAATGTAATCACTGTATTGGAACATACAGATAGCTCCCTGAGGAATCGAAGTGGAACACTGATTTACATCAATCGGTCTTCATGAGCTCGTTGTCTTTTCTTTAACGATCAAAACATTACAGCTGTTTTCGTAGCCCCCTGCAGATCGACTAATCTAGATACCACAATGGCACGCTTTGACATCTAAAAATCTCATTTCCTGCATCATCAATTCACTTCCCATCGTCAATTCTCACCGGATATATAGCTACCCATTTACAAAATCACCATATTAACAGCCAACTGGGAAGTTAAGATTAACCATTTGGTACATGTTTGTGTGCCTACTTGATGGCTGACGTCAGGTCAGGCGGTTCTTCAGCAAATACTTTCCTTGTAGTGTAATCATCTTTTAATAACAATTACTTACAGCTTTGAGTTGGAGCATGTCTTGTCTTGACATCGTTGAGACGTTGATGGTGTACTCTATTTTCCTGATCGCCACAGTGTTGCCTTTGCAGTACCCAATCGCTGAGAATATTTGACCTTCACCAATCCCTCCAGTGTCCAGCTTTAAGGAGCTAAGGAGGCTGGACGCAGTATTATTTATGCTTATCTGGAACAGATGGGTACAAATACACGTATTTTAGCCTATCCTTGTACACTCAAGGAAAAACGCAAATTTAACCATGTTCCTATTTAAAGTATTGCGTATCTTTTATTACAAGCACATAGTTCAAACCTCCTCTGCACTGTTTGGATGCCTTAGGGACAGAAAATGTGAAGCGGCGTTTTCCCCGACGCGCATTAAAACGGTTTCGAGTATCCTTGTCTATGTTAACTGGTGATGTGTACATGGTTACACCATTGATCAATCTGTCAAGTCGCTAAGTCCATATTACCATTATAATTCTTAAAAACAATTAACATTTAGTTATCAATTAATAAATATGAACACGGTTACTGTGGCCTTTGCGCTGAAGAGAAAACTATAAAGCAGGTCATTTTCGAAATCTATGTTGCTATCTGGCTTCAAGACAATACCACAATAATGCACAGTCATGGTTTTGACAATGGAACACTTATATGTGATGTGATGTCAACACTCCTGAAGTACCAAACTGAGATGCCTTATGCAATGAACACGTGACAGAAAAAAATAATCCTGAACGGGATTCGAACCGACAAGCAGCGTATCCTGCCAGCTAATAAACAAATCTCAGAGTTTTCTGGATATAACGATCTCATAGAGACAGAGTACTCAATAAGTTCGTATCAGTGGAGTTCGACTCGGAGAAAAGCGTAAAAAATATCAATGTAGGCGTACAATTACATGACGTTTTTTAAAAATATAGTTGTTCGAAACTACGAAATATCGCTGTAGATTGAAACAATGTCCCTGGAAGAACGCTGCTAACGTCAGCTAGCACAGAATTCAGTACACTCGTACACGTATCGTGTTCCTAAAATATTAAGAAATATATTGGCGAACGTCACGAATCTATTGACATTATCATATGTCACAAAACAATATCTGCGAAAATATTTTCCTTGCATACAAGATCACTCAATACATTTGCAGCGCTGTCCACAAAGATTTATACGTTGTCTGCACGTCAGACACGTCGTGTAGTTAATGTTCCTTCCTGTTTCACTACAAAAAAAACCCTACATCGACTCTGTGTTACTTACCATACTTATACTGCCAGCCAGACGATTCCTGCTGAACTTAATATCATCATATGGTATCATCCACAGTCGTTGTTGTAACTTGCGTTCTAGGCTTGAACGCCTGTCGTTGTGTAAAAGACATTAATCGGAATGCAATGTAAGTCATATATTTTGTCAGTTGCATGTTAACACATGATTGAATTGATTAAAACACTTCATCACGTTTCTTTTTTTCATTTCTATTTATCTTAAAGGAAGTAAATGGATGTATCAGTGAGAACACATGTATGATTATTATAAAGAATATAAGGTATGATGCGAGTCATTTGTTGTCCAATGGAAACGTTGGAACTGAAAATATTGTTTTGAACATTACTTGATATGCTCATGTGACTGGCAACTGTACCTATTCCGTACTTGCACGTTTATAATGTGACTTATAACATGATCAAAGATTTCACCTTGGTGTAAAATAATAAATATAATCGTTTCAAGAGCTGTCCGACAAACTCAAAATGTTTTACCTTCCTAATCCTCGATTGCAACTTTACCTGAAAAGGATAACAATTACGATGATGACCACGATGACGACGAAACCCACTAATACTGTCACAATTATTATGAAGACCCGATCTGGAAGGCAGAAAATTACAACAGTTAACAACATATCAATAACCATTACAAAACTCGAGTTGTAACTTTATTTATTTTCAGTTATATATAGACTGGGACATTCGTTTAATCAATGTGAAATGCCACTCTGGCTTCAAGATATCTAACTGTTTATTTGCATGAAAGTGGAACTTTGCGTCTTACATGATCTGTCTTTTGGGCACAACTCCTCCGAGAAACCACAAACAGGGACATCTGGCGGAGGTTTGCCGTCGCTTGTTGCCCACACGACGTCCTGTATTACGTGGATTTTCTGTAACGTAACAACCTGCACGTGTCCACTTTAGTCAGACAAACTATAACCAAACAATGCATTGAGCTGAAGAGCTCTTAATTCCTTATAACAACACCCAGGGTGAGGACACAGTAAGGTTAAACCGTGTCCACCAGACAGTCTCAGGTGGTTAACGTCATATCCCTTATCAAATCAGCTCTATTTCTCAAGCATAATTTAATTTGCGACCTTTTGAAAGACCCTTTTTGAAATTAAAAAATCATACTTAACAAACCTACATATTACCAAATACAAACATTTATACACCCGTTCTACATTTCGTTCCAATTGGCCTGGATCATTCAACTTGCTCGCGAAGGTCGAAGGTCGTATACGATGTATATGTATAAATAACTTTTAACTGTATCATATATATTCATGAAAAAAAATTGTTTTCGTTTTTTAATTCGAGTGAGCACAATCTTAGGCTAAAACTGCAAAAGGACAGTCAAAATATGTCTTTGTACAATGCAAGCGATACAAACGTAGCGGCTGATAAAAGAGACCATGATTCAATAATCCATATGTAATATTTTATTTGTTCTCGTTCAATCTATTATACATTTTGAAGTTACTTTAAAGTTTCAAGGAGTAATGTAATGGTGTGGTATTATGAATGAATTTAGAATATGAATAGTGAAAAACAGTCACCACATGGGATGTGTATGTGTCTTCCAACTGCACACTTGTGCCGAGGTCCGGTGGTCATAAAACTAATTGGTTCCATAAAAGGAGCAATTAGTTTCGCAGATATTCCGCTGTACTTGCTGTGGTTCACTACCAATTGTCATACGCCCCATTTGTCAGACGACCCAATCATTAGACATACCAGTCAAGTGTGAACAGTGTATCTGCCTGGTCTAACCTACTAATTACTGAGCTGCCCCATACTGTGGGCAGAGCATTACAGCTACTTTAACCCGTCGAGCGATACAGATTAACAGATTAAATACATTGTTAGGTAGAATAAGAACACGTTATATAGATTAAACTTCTCCATAGCCTGAGTATAATTGCACATGTACTATAAGTACCGTACTATATAACTTATATCCAACCAGACACATGGGTATTACTTACCCATAGGTGAAATATTTTAATAACGCCACAAATTAGTTGAATTAAGTTAAAATGAGTTGAAACATGTGTCATGATGCTTGTAGACAGACCTTTATGTATTTGCCAAAGAAAGACACGAGTTTTGAGCAAAGGAGAACTATTCTCGCCCATGGGCCTGCCCATGAGCCAAACCTTTTCGCAGGCCCATGGGCGACATACATGTAGTTTAAATTTTGAGTTTTCGAAAGATTTTTTCACATGATTTCTATTTTGCCATGTACCCATGGGAACAGCATGTTCAATTGTGTAGATACCTTGACATAGACTGGCCACAGCATGGAGAGTGTCTGGACAAATGGGTTTCCAGAATAAAAATGGGATGTGTTATAGAATTTTTCTCGCTGATACAAATGATTCTTTAAGAGGACGTATTTAAATACGAAGCTGTGCTACCGGTAAGCCTAGTGCATTTATTATAACAGAATAGAGAAAAATGAACCGAGGATGCCGTAAAAGAGGAGTACATTCAATCAAGGTTGTGACATTCGAGGCATTCATTACTACTGGGATGACTTGGAGATTTTTAATATTTGGGAATGACTAAATTAAAATTGTTTTTCAATGAAGAACAATTTGACAATTACAAAATGGTTTCAAGGGTACTTGCCTATGCAGGCATATCTCATAAAAATTATGTTGGAGATAGTATGGGCGCTTTCGAATTCAGTGGCGCTGATTTTGGAAAAGTCGCGCAATCATACATGACTCAAAGCCATTGTCAACAGGACAGTATATGCCTAGTATGCCTAGGCACCACACACTGTTGTACAGCGTAACGTTCGTAGGTCCGTTGGTAATATGATCCTACATTCTCCTGACTATTATCTTTGTCAGTCCCATACACGTCACCAAAACAGTAAACGTCTTTTCCACAGTGACGTGACGTGTATTGTGACATAACGCACCTGGTCATCCGTACTGGTCAGTCTGGCCTCAATGACCACATTGAAGTGTTGTCCTCCTGGTTGTAGGTCCCACACCCAGTAGTCCGGCTCCCGGTCACCGTTGTTGTCCACCTGCACAGTTCCCGTGATGCCTGAAAAAGGACTTCCACATAATTCACATGACAGAGGAAGTGTTGCTCTATTCAGTTTATCTCTGATATTGCAGAAACCCATGGGTGAGGGGAGGGTGAAGCATTTAATATCCTGGGGCGAGCCTGGGTTTGTTTTGGTTTGTTATATTTTTTTATACATGTTATTTTTTTCAATCGCTGTTTCAAAACATAAATTTTCTCTCTGAAAGGGGAATCGAACAGTTTGTTTTTTTATTGTGAACAACAGGTATTTTCTCCAGGAAATTCAGTATAGTCAGCGAACCGTTTTGCGTCAAACCTGAAGTAAAATTAATTCTTTCAAGTATTTACTTGAACAAATTATCTTTTCGAAAAAGCCACCCACAACCCCTACCCACCCCTCCCTAGTCATTGACATCATGAGCATCGATCTACGCAATTGGGATACGATGACATGCATCAACCAAGTCAGTGAGTCTGACCACATGATTCCGTTAGTGGCATCTAACGACGAGCATAGTTGCCTTTTACGGCAAGCATGTGTTGCTGAAGACCTATACTCAACCTGGTTATTCACGGGTTACTTCTACTGGACGTGATATAGTTGATGTGCACGTGGTAAGATTAATCCTCGATATTTGCTTTATAACTGTAATTATATATGTAACATACCTTTGTACAACACAACGTAACATCATTGTATACAAAACAACGTAACATAACTTGGTTTGTACAAAACAACGTAACGTAACATAGCTTTGTACAGAACAACAGAATGTGACATTGGTTTTTTTTCAAAACAACGTAACGTAACTTGGCTTTGTACAAAAGTAACGTTACATAGCTTTGTACAAAACAACGTAACTTAACATCTCTTTCTACAAAGACAGCGTTACGTAATTTGGCTTTGTACGTAACAACGTAACGTAACATAGCTTTGGACAAAACAAGGTAACGTACATAGCTTTGTACAAAACAACGTAACGTACATAGCTTTGTACAAAACAACGTAACGTAACATCGCTTTCTACAAAGACAGCGTTACGTAATTTGGCTTTGTACAAAACAACGTAACGTAACATAGCTTTGGACAAAACAACGTAACGTACATAGCTTTGGACAAAACAACGTAACGTACATAGCTTTGTACAAAACAACGTAACGTAACATCGCTTTCTACAAAGACAGCGTTACGTAATTTAACTTTGGACAAAACAGCGAAACGTAACATCGACTTCACATTACCGCGGAAGGATTTCCCTTTGGCTTTGTTAAATATCAGCGTTCCGTTCCGATGATCTGCTCCCTCGGTGACAACTTCATGCAGCACCAGCAGGTAGAGGTAGACGGCGTCGTGGAGGAAGGGGGAATAGTCGGAACCCTGATAAGCGGATAAATAGTATATTTGATGATAATTACGACATGTATCGAATGCAACACCGCAGAGAGGACGGGGGATTTCTCCGAATCACCTCTTGGCTAATTATCCGTTTCCGAGTAAAATTTATACTACATTTTAAAGACATGTTCAAAGACAGAAAGCAGAATAACAGCTTAAATTGTTGTAGTCTTGTCAGCGAGATGGCTACTGTAACTCTAAGTTGTATACCTTACCTTGATGCCTTTGACAAGGGTATAGTTGTAGTACCATGGTGCCTCAGCCATCTTTGCAGACACCAAATCCCGGAATGCCTGGACCTCAGCGCCCATCATCTCAGACACTGTAATCTGAAGAAAAAAGAAAACAGCAAATTAATGTATTCTGTGTCATGTCTATAAACACTTGACACAGTTGTATTGGATGTCTCCAACATTCTCAACATATCTTCATATTACGTGGCGGGACATTGTCCTATGTACAGCGCACAGGTCACAAAACAGATGAAGTTAAGCAACGTCGGTCTCGGAGAGTAGATGATGGGTGACCACGTTAAGCAGCTTGACTCCTGAGAGTTTCTAGGGCTTCGGTCCTGCCCCACACTGAAGCACATGTATCACATGTGGTGTCTCCTTAGGCAATTGACTTTGTTCGCAATGTGCCTCTGTTCACCCCGCAGTGAGTGGGTACCCGGTAGGATGAGATGGTAATGTTAACCTTCCAGCGCCTCACAGACAGCTTGGAATGTATACACCCCAGGGAGCTGAGAATGAAAATCGAGAGCTCACTGATCCATTGATAATACTAGTGTAGCGCTATGAGCATCCACTTGGTGAATGGATTCTGGCGCATTATAAATGCACTTATTATTATACTAATATTATTCTTATCACTATCCTATCACTAACTCAGTGAGTCATTGAGTGAGTGATTATTGTTTAACGCCACCTCAGTAATATTGCAGCTATTCTCGGGGACCTAACTCAAAGGAATAACAGAGAAATGTGTGCTACTTAATAACCACGCCTATGCATCCAGTGCAACAGTACCCACATTAGCAAGGTATCAGTGTAAGGCTAGCATATGTATTTGGCAGAAGACGGATGTGGTTATGGAATGTGAATCTTCACGTAAAGAAGTTATATGTGGTTACTGAGTTGTGAATCGGCATGTGAAGACTTTGTATATGGTTATGGAGTTGTGAATCGGCATGTGAAGACGTGTACTGTATACGTATATGGTTATGGAGATGTGATTGGGCATGTGTAGAAGACGATGTAGTTTCGTGTTGTGATTGAATTTAGATTAAATAACTATTAACCAATAATTACAAACTTAACCAATCACAAATATTGTTTACATGTTTTATAATAATTGCAAATAACGTGTTTTAAACCAGTGATAGCCTGCGAAGGGTTAAGGTATATGACGACTTAACGATACCATGCATTTTGTGTTAAACAACAAATTTATTACACTGATATGTCTTCCTTAAGACAAACATATTCATATAGACCATATAGCACATCACAGCTTCCACTTTATATGACCAATACACCAAGTAGCTCCCCAATCATTATAACACTACCGACACCATAGTAGGTTAGAATGTTCACACTTTTCCATAATTCTGAGGCATCCATACCATCATATTGCTCTGTGATTGGGCTTACATAAAGTATGAATCGATCGAACGAGATACAAAAGCTCTCTAATGCTACTGTCTCATTTAGAAGACATTACCGATTTGATAATTAGCAAATTTGTCAAGACCCGTGACCACTACCATCATTGTTATTCTGTGTTACATGATACTAATGCATGGGTTATTACTCCAGATGCTGATAAAGTAAAGTGCCATATATCGATCAAGTTAAAACAAACGTTATAGATAATTTATATGTTTGATGGATTGTTTTCGTGCAACCTAGCTTCAAAACAGCAAACAATGTCCGAATAAATACTATCATGTTACTTCATAACTTCAAAGCTTACCATAATCCACAATAACCTATCTTAAGTACTACCATGATCCGTGATTTTCGCGCCATGTAACAAAACATTCTGGCGTGATGGCAATGAGCTGTCATAAAATACTTACAAATACCTGTCATTGCCGATCGATTTGCAGCCCCATAGCGACAAATGGTACAGATGACAATAACGATGAACGGGTGATCACGGTGGATGGAGAATCCGTAGCTAAATAGACACCTGCATTGGTTTCCCAGGAAGGAAATCAATAAGTGTGGAGGGAGGTGGTGAATGGGGGGTGGGTGGGGGTTTGGGGGGGGGGGGGGGGGGGGGGGGGGGGCGCTTGGTCGCTTAATTCCAGATTTGACTTTGCGGTCACACTGTAAAACCGACAAAACCATTTATAACGAACACGCATATAACGAACTGACCGATATAACGAACTTATGTTTTAGTCCTGGCCATTTGTTGCATATATGCTGAATATATGCTTATAACGAACAACGGTTATTACGAACTAAAATTAGTGGTCCCTTCGAGTTCGTTATAACCGTAGTTTACTGTATATGCATGTGTCTATGAATCACGTCTTGGCTCTAGATCCATGAATCCTTCTTTTGGTTTGTTATGGAAATCAGCGATGCTGCTGTCATTGGGAGACAAAGGTGAGTGATCGAACCCGGGTCTTCGGCGTGACGAGCGAACGCTTTAACCTCTAGGTTACCCGGCCGCCCCTTTGGAGACAAACGTACAATCAATGACATACATGTAGATTATGATTTGTGGGTTGGCCTTAACCACTTCAGCGAAACCCACGAGGATATATTAGGCGCTGACCAAAATAATTAAAATCAGATATCCTCAGACAAGTGGACCATCCGTGCACACGCTTAGATTCGTGCATACCGATATATAGCGTACAACAATGTGCAACTAAAAGGTGACGCACTTTAATAAAGTGCTAATGTGTTGTCAAGGGGAAGTACACTAATTGGGTACTTACGTTTTTTACAGTACCACTTTCGTCATCCTACAACGCTATGGAGCATTTGATCTGTGTGTAGTAGGTAACAACAGCGTCTAATGCTCAATGACCGACGCCTTCCGCTGCGACATCGTAAATAGAAGAATGAATTGAAGACAATACCAGCACAATGAGTTACCTGGAAGACGTATGAGAACGCTGCTTTGGCCTCCTCGTCAAGATCATCTCCTTTCACCCACGGTGTCTGGACATTGGCTGGAGGAAGATGCTCCGGGATGAAGAAGACGTAAGTTCCATCCATCATACCTGCACGTGCTGCTTGTAGAAGGATTTTCCGTCGATCAGCTGTGTTTTCAGTACACAATATTACAACTGAAAATCAAAGGTTAACACTAGCGGATGGCCCATGATAGGTCAGCAGTCTCCTAACGATCAGTCTTCACTGGTTGTGTTTTCGAATCTGGGATTCATCCACATTACAGGGGCGGTCGGGTAGCCTAGAGGTTAAAGCGTTCGCTCGTCACGTCGAAGACCCGGGTTCGATTCCTGACATTGGTACAATGTGTGAAGCCCATTTCTGGTGTCCCCTGCCGTGATATTGCTGGAATATTGCTAAAAGCGGCGTAAAATGAAACTCACTCACTCATCATCATTAAACACCCATGACTGTCAAGATACAGGTGGGGGCGGTCGGGGAGCCTAGTTCTCTTCACCATTAGATAAATCACTGAAATGGTGTTCAAAGTTGCATTAATCCTCTCCGTCTATGAGACGCGACACATCAGAAACCTACGATTGTGGGTTTGAATCCTGGTTCGCCCCGATTATGTTTTTAGGTTTGTAAGCACCATACCCGTGCTCGTGGGGTTCACCAAATAGTAAAAGACATTCATCACTTCGGCATTTCTTCCCACATTTAGCAGACACGCCATAATACAACTTGAATACTGTTAAATAACGTCGTTAAACCCAACTCACCCAAGACCCGTGAAGATCTGCGGTAGAATAGGTCAACCCAGGCTTACCGTAAAAGGCGACTATGCTTGTCGTAAGAGGCGACTAACTGGATCGGGTGGTCAGGCTCGCTGACTTGGTTGATGCATGTCATCGTACCAAAATTGCGTGGATCGATGCTAATGATGTCAATAACTGGATTGTCTAGTCCAGATTCGATTATATACAGACCGCCGTCATACATCTCGAATATTGCTGAGTGCGGCGTTAAACAACAAGCAAACAAACACTCCAATCAATGTTCAACCATTACAAATAAAACATGATCCATACTTCTTCCTCGTTGCTGGATCTTCAACAGCAGGTCGTCGATTTCACTTTCACCAATGCCATCATCAATGACGATCCAGTCAGCGACTGTCATATCACTGGCTCTGAAAATCTCTTCCGCCGCGCGAGACGAATAATCACAAAAAACGTTCTTGTTGTCCGTTCTTCGCCTTGATATGATGATAACACGTGACCATTTATAATAGTTAAATATCTCAACAAATGCCCTGCCCATTTTGTTGAAGGGGGGCCCAAGTCTTACTAATGTTTTGTACACTGTTTTATCGCCCAGTTGTGGGTCAGTGGACGCCTGACTGAACATTGGCAGATTCCAAAACGAGGCTAAGAGGCCAGAGGGCACTGTAGCTGAAAGTATCAAATTTCAATATGACAGTTACATGTTTGTTACATCATTGTCAATGAAGGGGCCATAAAATTTCCGAGTCCCGTGATGGGATTCGAACCACGAACCTTCTGATCAGAGATCGGACGCCTTGTCCACATGACCAAAGAGGTTAACCCCGTCAGCAAGCTGACAAGGTAAGGATGTCATCTGTGGGACGACTCCAAGCCCTGCTACATACTCCCCCGTCAACAGAAGGAACGTCCCGGGCCGCATAGTATGGTACTGAGGCTTATTTTGCTCAAATTTAATATGGACGTGCTCAGCCCCACGTTGGGCGCCAATGTAGCGGCCATAAAATTTCCGAGTCCCGTGATGGGATTCGAACCACGAACCTTCTGATCAGAGGTCGGACGCCTTGTCCACATGACCAAAGAGGTTAACCCCGTCAGCAAGCTGACAAGGTAAGGATGTCATCTGTTGGACGACTCCACGCCCTGCTACATCAACATGCATTAGTTAGACCTTTATAATTATTCAGCAATGCTGACGTCATCACTATCATTCTTTGCCAAATTGTATCAACAATAACAACATGAACCTGTAGTCATGAACGCAGGAGCATGTTGCCAAACACATTTAACCCACATGACCTAACCCAGCCACTTCCTTCTTTGTGAAGCAAATGTGTGTTGCGTTCATGTATTTAAAGCCATATTTATCTTACATTTGTAATCTTATGTGAAGAAATCCCGTTGAGGGTTGATCGTGTGTCGCCCTACACTGACGGCGTGTGACGTTCTCGTCATATTCACTTTTTATTTTGTCTGGTCGAGACGCGGTTAATTACCAGCTGCCGGGATTTAGCTGGAATAGTGTTGATTGTGACATTAAACATAAACCTAGATACCGAGGTTGAACTATTCAGTTTTGTGGTTTTGTTTGTTTGTTTGTTTTGTTGTTTTTTTTGTTTTTTTTGGGGGGGGGGGGGGTGTGGGAACGAAAGACGACACAATAATCCGAAAATAATGACGAAAGTGGTACATCTTTAGTTTACGTCGTCTGTCAGTCACCGGTCCCCTATCAATCATTTCCCCTTATATACTAACCACCAAAAGAAACGCGAACCATAGTGAGTGAGTGAGTATGGTTTTACGCCGCTTTTAGCAATATTTCAGCAATATCACGGCGGGGGACACCAGAAATGGGCTTCACACATTGTACCCATGTCAGGAATCGAACCCGGGTCTTCGGCGTGACGAGCGAACGCTTTAACCACTAGGCTACCCGACCGCCCCGCGAACCATAGAAACATATAGAGAGGTATGTACGTTAAGTAGAGAAATTCCGATGTGTACCACTTAATGACAAAAAAAACAACCAGTCAAGTGTTACCACAGTGTCTTATCACGATATGCTGCACGTGATTTCCAAACTTTACACGCTAATCCTGCACAAGACAAATGGTGCATCTCGAGCCATGGGTCAATGGCGTCACCCGTGGTGCGTTCATGAGCGTCGATTCACATATATTCTTTTGTCGGTGAGTATATGAAGAAAGTGTTAAATATAAATAACAGTGTCCATAGGTTACTGAAAATGTGGATTTTAAAGGACCTTGACTGAACTACATGTAGTTACGTTACTTTTCATTGGCTGTACTAACAAAGAACCGCTACGATGAATTCGTCATGATGTCAACATTCGCGATTCACGGTAAATAAAACAAACAAATACATATTGAATGAAATGATATTGTCATTTCGGAAAAAATACCAGTGACCGATAATTCATAACTTGAGGACATGTCGTTTGTATTGACATTAATTAATATTTTTATTTTGAAAAGTTCCATCATTAACTGAATGCGTTTTCTCGTTTCCTGACAATGATTTAACGTCACCGGTAATGTGTATCATCAGTTAATGTATTTGTTTTAATTTTGGCGATATGTCTTCATGTCGACAGGAAGTACCTGTTCTCCCAGAACCTGATCTGTTGTCATGGAATCGACACTGGTGGACAGCGAGTTGTAGGCATTATAAAAAGATATTTTAACTTAAAAAGGTGCACGGTAATTTCAAGGAGGAAATGTGATGGAGAAAGTGGTTGTATGAATGGACATCTTTTCTTGGGCCGCGGACGTCTCAAATCTAGATTAAAAAGAACCCTTATTCTAGGGCCTCCGTAAGCCTTTGGCGGTGGTAGGTGTTATTGGGGACTGGTTCGGTTAGAATGTGGAGCGTATTACTGACAGAATACATGTCGTTTTGAAGAGAATGATATTCATGGAAGAGACCCCAGAATTCAACATTCTTTGACTATCAAATATAAATTAACCAATAGTAAAACAGTAATTTGCCAACACTGGAACACTGGAACTATTTGTAGAATGAAGCACAACCCTCCACATCTCTTCAAGTACCACCATACTTCACATCTTTCCACATCTGTTCAAGTACTTCCATACTCCACATCCCTCATATATCTTCAAGTACCACCATACTTCACATCTTTCCACATCTGTTCAAGTACTTCCATACTCCACAACCCTCAATATATCTTCAAGTACCACGATACTTCACATCTTTCCACATCTGTTCAAGTACTACCCATATTCCACATCCCTCATATATCTTCAAGTACCACCATACTTCACATCTTTCCCCATCTGTTCAAGTACTACCATTCTTCACAGCCATCCACATCTCTTCAAGTACTATCCATACTCCACATCCCTCATATATCTTCAAGTACCACCATACTTCACATCTTTCCACATCTGTTCAAGTACTACCCATATTCCACATCCCTCATATATCTTCAAGTACTACCCATACTCCACAGCTCTCACTATATCTTTAAGTACTACCATACTCCATATCTTTCCACATCTCTTCAGGTACTACCATACTCCGCAGCCACATCTCCCAAAACGTAACGAGGAATATTCCCATTCCACGCCAAAGCTGAATTCGCCAAACCACGTTTTCGAACTACACATAAACACGTTTCCATTGCACAAAACAATCGGAGCTTTAATCTTCTTTTACGCTGAAGTAAAAGTATGATAACAACGCTAGTTGTAACAATATTCGGGGCGGTCGGGTAGCCTGGTGGTTAAAGCGTTCGCTCGTCCCGCCGAGGACCCGGGTTCGATTCCCGACATGGGTACAATGTGTGAACCCCATTTCTGGTGTCCCCCGCCGTGATATTGCTGGAATATTGCTAAAAGCGGCGTAAAACCATATTCACTCACTCACTCACTCACTGTAACAGTATTCACAGAATATTGATGTTCTGTGAGTTTGGATGCGATTGCGTTAACAGTTCAGTACAAACTGCCATACATACAACTCGAACATGGCGGTCCTATGAAGACGTCAACGTCATCTTCATCCCTCAACAGAACAGTGTTGCCGGACCCCTTCAGCGCGCTGCAGCCATCGTCCCTCCATCTTACTCTGACAACAGAAGAACAACAGTGTGAAGGTGCAATTTTCATGGGGATATACAACTTTGCAGATTTGCATAGATCGCAACTGATATCGTTTATCGAAAGCGGCTTATTTGCACTTGTCCTGTCTGTCAATTTCAAAGGCTGAGACGAAAGTACAGCGGAGGTTGATACTTTAAATACAGAGGCACTACATGTGGTCTTGTTGGATGAAATTAGGTCCAAAATGACGGTCTTGATCGCACAACAAACCCGACCCTCCTTTCCTACTATAACATGGTCGGATGCACACGTTTTCGGCAGAGCAAAGCCTTTCTTCACCCTTTATAACTCTTCGATATTCTCCTACCCACAATTAAACAATAATCATTTGTACACTGTACTCTCCTTCGTGTGAGTGGGATTAAATGATTGAAATATCCTCCCCTTTCCTTCAGTAACGGAAATGTGACATCACAACTTGAGATCACTATTCGGTGAGAAAACAATGTGCGAAACAGACTCTTTCTTCAATTGCGTTTATTGTTCGCGTTTTGGTACTTTCATTATTTTTGTGAGACTTTTCTATTTTTAAACTTTTCGCTGATCTCAGTATAAAATGATGAAGCATCGATTGTACTTCCTTAGTTCCTTTTTGTGGTATCCTGATCACAACTTGATGATATGTCCAACTCTGACTGTGACAATAGTTTTCGAGTAATGGAATGTGAACCACAGATTTGTGTGCCCTGCTCAAAGAGGGGCTGTTCAGCCGAAATTGCTAAGGCAGAAGGCGATCTCTTAAACACTTAAAGCACCAACGACAACACAGTAAGCGTTTTTAAGATTCGTTTGGGTTAAGACAAATGCTGACATCGATACATTATGTTTTCGTACTTTTAATATAAGCGCAACAGCCCTCACTTTTTTCTCGGCCATCGTATTGTTCATCATACTGTCTACATAATGGTGTAAGAAACATCTATAACTAGTTTTTCATGATATCTGCACTGGCGTCTTCCGTAGTTCGTGAGTACGTTTACATTTATCGTCGCAAAGGCATTATTTCGACCATATAACGACCACAGCAAGTTTGTATATCTGCAAGCACGTCATATATATACATCAAATTTATCATTTAACTAAAGCATTTATCCATGACATAAGCTTATGACATAAAAACATGTATGTCATACCCCAATGACATAAGTATGCAAATTAGATATGCAAATTAGATAACCGGAAGTGGGACTTTTTTCGCCGGTGCAACATGGATACCTTTGATGTTGGAGACATTATTTCAATTATTCTGCAAAAGTCTGTTCAAGTATTTTGTTTAAAATAATCCGAGGAACTTTTTTTCTCAGCGAAATAATATGCCATCAAGGAGTTAGGAGGTTGTTTATTTTGGTTTACACGGCTATGGAAAACATGTATCACTACGCACGATCTATACGTAAGATTTCGACAAGTTGCTGATGTTAATGTTTAATGCAATTATTCCTTAATTGGGAAGCAAAAATGTGAAAATGATAAATAGAATTCATCACTCGTGTTTTTTAATATGGGAAATATCAACCTCGTCCCGTTAATCGGTATTTGCCTCGCCAAAGGCTCGGCAAATACCGATTAACTAAGACTCGGTTGATATTTCCCATATTAAAAAACATGAGTGATGAATTCTCTATATATATAACTTGTCAATACAAGAGAATAAGCAGTGTGGATTATCCGCCGGAACAGATTCCAAAGGGCAGAATAGCTGTGGAAATTATATGATTGGACCATTGGAAATCGGTTATATTTAAAGCGAATTTGTCAAACATATTTTAGCATTATAATAATAATTATATACAATTTTTAATAAAAGCCATTTCATATTGCATTGTACAATTAATACACGGGCTATAAGTCACCAGCAAGCAACGCGAGACCACCTCGATCGCTGGAGATCATGGGGACTAGTACCTAAGCTTCCTGCACGATACTCCAGAAGGATTTACGTTAGCAGCTTCTGTAAAGGTGATCTACTAGCATCAAGAATATACCTGATAGTGGCACTGTGGGTTAAGATGATGTCATAGATTGTGGCTTTTACAAAGTTTTATACATTTACATATCATCGGATAAGTACATTGAAATAGTGAGGGAGTGGGTATGGTTTACGCTGTTTTAACATAATCCATCAATACAACGCCTGGGAGCAACGGAATGGGCACGTTGAAAAACCATCAAACTATTCTTTATATCCCACAGATATGTATATTACAGTCAGCAGATTACATCAAGCATGCTGTCAATTATATATACATGTATATATATACATGATCAGATATGATTTACATTTTCGACTAGATCTATATCTAACAATATATATATATATATACACACACACACACACACACACACACACACACACACACACACACACACACACACACACACACATATATACTGTCTATAATGTTTATGGGACGTAAACGTCTTTTTGACAGTTTCCACTAATTGGAGGTTGGAGGAATTAGCTGTAGAGATAGAGTCAAGACTGATTATCACCTCCTGGAACAGAGAAAGGTGTTTCCTCCGATTGCCGTATATATATACATCTCAGGCCTTCATTAAACTAAACATTACGAAGTCCTATATCTTTCACAACGTCCCAGGCGTCAGCTGCGTATCAGCTGTAACAATGGATGATGACGGCCATCATTTAATAATTACAGTCCGGTAGGTTTTAATACTGACAATGCCTAACTACCCTAGTCTTGACCATGATAATGCGGCCGGCCGTGTGACGTGAGGCTAACACACTAATCACTGGCTCTCTGAGGTGGTGACCCTCGGTGACAATCCGGCAATGAATATGTGCATAATGGGTCTCTGGCTCACAGCCGAAGTGACAATGTTTTTACCGGCATATGTGAACTATAAGTTACTGGTATGCGGAAGTCAGTTTATGCAACGCCTACACCGATTTCCCTCTAAGAATATTTCTTTTAATTTGCCGACATGATCACGATTTAATTAAAAAGCTGATGTTGTGAAGAAAAGTAAAGACGGTAAAGTAATTTAGGAATCTAAGTGTACGTCCATTACTCATCATCAAGTAATTCAAGGACCTAGTTTCACGTTCATCACTTGGCGTAAAGTATTGCGGAAGCCTAATCGCACGTTCATTACTGGCGGTAACGTAATTTAGGAACCTAGTTGTACGCTTCTTTCTCAGCGTAAAGTAATTCAAGGGCATTGTTGTTAGTTTATTACTTAGCGTAAAGTAACTCGGAAACCTTAGTTTATGTTCATTTCAGGGACATAGTTGTACGTAAGTCAAGACCCTTGCTGTCTGTTCATTACTCGCAATGAAGTAACTCAGGACCCAAGTTGTACGTACATTACTCACGGTTAAGTAACTCAGGACCCCAGTTGTACGTACATTACTCACGGTAAAGTAACTCAGGACCCCAGTTGTACGTACATTACTCACGGTAAAGTAACTCAGGACCCAAGTTGTACGTACATTACTCACGGTTAAGTAACTCAGGACCCTAGGTGTACGTACATTACTCACGGTTAAGTAACTCAGAACCCAAGTTGTACGTACATTACTCACGGTAAAGTAACTCAGGACCCTAGGTGTACGTACATTACTCACGGTAAAGTAACGCAGGATCCAAGTTGTACGTACATTACTCACGGTAAAGTAACTCAGGACCCTAGGTGTACGTACATTACTCACGGTAAAGTAACTCAGGACCCTAGGTGTACGTACATTACCGCGATTAAGTTACTCAGGACCCAAGTTGTACGTACATTACTCGCGGTAAAGTAACTCAGGACCCTAGGTGTACGTACATTACTCACGGTAAAGTAACTCAGGACCCAAGTTGTACGTACATTACTCACGGTAAAGTAACTCAGGACCCAAGTTGTACGTACATTACTCACGGTAAAGTAACTCAGGATCCAAGTTGTACGTACATTACTCACGGTAAAGTAACTCAGGACCCAAGTTGTACGTACATTACTCACGGTAAAGTAACTCAGGACCCTAGGTGTACGTACATTACTCACAGTAAAGTAGCACAGGACCCAAGTTGTACGTACATTACTCACAGTAAAGTAACTCAGGACCCAAGTTGTACGTTCATTACTCACGGTAAAGTAACTCAGGACCCTAGGTGTACGTATATTACTCACGATAAAGTAACTCAGGACCCTAGGTGTACGTACATTACTCACGGTAAAGTAACTCAGGACCCTAGGTGTACGTACATTACCGCGATTAAGTTACTCAGGACCCTAGGTGTACGTACATTACTCGCGGTAAAGTAACTCAGGACCCTAGGTGTACGTACATTACTCACGGTAGAGTAACTCAGGACCCAAGTTGTACATACATTACTCACGGTAAAGTAACTCAGGACCCAAGTTGTACGTACATTACTCACGGTAAAGTAACGCAGGATCCAAGTTGTACGTACATTACTCACGGTAAAGTAACTCAGGACCCAAGTTGTACGTACATTACTCACGGTAAAGTAACTCAGGACCCTAGGTGTACGTACATTACTCACAGTAAAGTAGCACAGGACCCAAGTTGTACGTACATTACTCACAGTAAAGTAACTCAGGACCCAAGTTGTACGTACATTACTCACGGTAAAGTAGCACAGGACCCAAGTTGTACGTTCATTACTCACGGTAAAGTAACTCAGGACCCTAGGTGTACGTATATTACTCACGATAAAGTAACTCAGGACCCTAGGTGTACGTACATTACTCACGGTAAAGTAACTCAGGACCCTAGGTGTACGTACATTACCGCGATTAAGTTACTCAGGACCCTAGGTGTACGTACATTACTCACGGTAAAGTAACTCAGGACCCTAGGTGTACGTACATTACTCACGGTAGAGTAACTCAGGACCCAAGTTGTACGTACATTACTCACGGTAAAGTAGCACAGGACCCAAGTTGTACGTACATTACTCACGGTAAAGTAACTCAGGACCCAAGTTGTACGTTCAT